CCGGTGAAGCCAAAGTACAAGGATAGAGATAGTCATAAGCCAACAAAACTGAACATTGATGGTTCAATACAAGTTTGGGGTAGGAATAAATCATTAATATTTAAGGTTAGTGCAATCATCACAACAGCACAATAAGCCAGCAGGAGCTGTAAAGGTTAGAGTTACAATAAGGGAATGGCAGCTGGTAAATTATAGAGTAGCGGGCGGCAACACACGACGTAGTCGGGTGTTGTCGCCAGGGCTAGCTTAATAAAAAGAAGGTTGCAATGAGGGAATGAATGATGCCGGGCGGCAACACACGACGTAGTCGGACGTAGTCGGGTGTTGTCGCCAGGGCTAGCTTGAAAGATGGGTGCAATCCCACCATAATCCTCCTTCTTCTATCTGTCTTTCTGCCGAGGTATCGCAGCTTCCGCTGACTTAAAATATTTATCTGACAAATCCAGTGTAGACCTACTCCTTTTAGTAGTAGTTCGCATCAAGCCTGGAGCTGTCACCATACTCTACTAGTACAGGCTTCCCACTGTACTTCCGATTTCGATTCCGACAACAATCAGAAGGCCTGTTTTTCGGTGAATTGAGTTGCGGTGGAACCACGGTACTTGTGTGGTAGGTGCCCGTGGAAGAAAGGCTTCATCATTAATTTTCGTTTGTCCCATAATTTCATGGAAGCTTGCTATCTGAGCTTCTAATAACTTGGCTACTACTATAATACAGCGACGTAAACCATCTATCATACTAGCTATTAATAGCTTGCCCACCATGAGCCTCAGCAATCTGAACAACCAGAATCGATCCCATGCCATTGGTACCAGTAACAACGCTAACCCTTTCAACGACGCTGTTCTTTCTGTTTTGCGGTCGAGTTCTTCAGAAGCTGTTCTTACTAGTACTAATAGCTTGGAGTCTGAGCTGCTGCGACTTGAGCTTGAGCTTCTGAATAGCAACCAGCGAGTTGCAACATCCGAGTCAAGTTCCGAACGAGAACCGACGAACCCCCAAGTCCCTGCTGCCATGAGCACGAGGCTCAGGCTCCTTCAAGCCCACGAAGAAACTCAGAGAGAGGAGGAATCCATCAATGCCAGGATCAGGATGCTCCAGGCTCAGATGCAACCAGAGTCTCAAACAGAATCTCAACCTTCTGCTCTGGCTTCTGAGCAGCACACTCGGTTGCAATGCATCAAGTCCCCTCTGGCTGGGGCTGCTGCATTTGCCAGTACGAATACGCATGCCAATGGCCACCTTCAAGCACAGCTTTTCATGATGCAGCTGCAGCTGCAACGGCAACAGCAACAGCAAGATCCTCCTCCTCCTGCTGCACCAGACGTCGCTTCCGTTGCCCTGTCCACCTTGCAACTTTGCCAAGAACTCGGCATGTCCAATGAACAGTCTCTTGCACTTGCCGTCACTGCAGCCAAAACCGTGCAGGGCTCGGCTCAAGACTCCCGAAATGACTTCACCACAAATAATGAAGTTGCTCCCGATCCTCCAAGCCTTGTTCCTGGTAATGGTCCTACAAGCGTTGTTCCAGATCCCCCCGCAAGACCCAGTGAGGAGGCCTCCTCGTTGGAAGCACTGCTTCAGCTCGCACGCGAAACCAATGACATGTTGGTGCGGGAGGACCGACAGAAACAACAGCGGCTGCAACGACAGCTTCAAGAACAACGACAGCTTCAACAACAGAAACAAAAGGTCGGGCCACGCAAGGGACGTTCCATCATGTTCCCAATCACATTGCACAGCATTCTATGCACGGTGGAACGAGAGGGACGCAGCGACATTGCCACATTTACACCAGATGGATCCGGATTCATTGTCTTGAAACCAAAACTGTTTCTTCAAGAATACCTTTCCAGGCACTTCAAGTATTCCGGGTATTCCAGCTTTCAGAGACAGGTAAGACTTCGTTGAGTGCGTTGCCACGAAAGTGCTTGCTGCATGATTATTCACTGCCATTGATTGATTACTTACTTTCTCCTTCCATACCAATCAAATATATAGGTCAATCTGTACTGCTTTAAAAAGAGAAGGGTGGGCACCAAAAGCTTCTACTCGCATCACAACTTCCACAGAGACTTCCCCGAACGATGCCGGGAAATGATACGGACCAAAATCAAGAGCAAAGAGATGATGTCTGATGCTGTCGGAGAACTCGAGGAGGGACTGGAGGAAGATCTCGAATGAACGGTGCGGACTGGACTGGACTGGACTGGACTGGTCAATTCCTCCAACAAAAGCTCCAAGATGGAAAACCGCCGAATATGATTCAATCGTCGATATTCTACATGACATTGCATGATGTACTAGTACATGTACATGTACATGTACATGTACTGCATAACATTCAAACTAACTTTACACAAACTTTACACATACCATACCGTAGTGGAGTGGAGTGGAGTGCTCACCATGGCATGCTCGTTGTTTGCTCGGCTCGCCATGTAACGGTACGGCGTACCTAATGGCGTAATGTAAACATTATGCGATTGCATTCTACAATCAGCTTTCGTAGACAACCACCCTCTCTAAAAATCCCTTACAACTGCATAGTATGATGATCAGGGAAACAGAAGCAACTCTAAACCCCCGTATTTTGGGAAACAGAAGCAATGGCGCTACCGCACAAGAATTCAGTTCTGATTGATCACATGCTTACAGAACCAGGTACATGTATGTACAAGCCGACCTGCGGGCTTTTTGAGAAAAGGCATGTCTGATTGAATCGATTGAATCGAACATCATTCGATTCGATTCGATTCAAAATTCATTCGATGAAATGATCCGGAAGCACCAACCAACCTGACAAGCAGCAAGGATGACCAGACGACCAGACCTTTGGCGTCGATTCAAGAACCAAGAAAGTTGAGATACCTGTATGTAGAAGGACAATTGGGGACGCTGCTCCCGGCGCAGACGCTAGAGGCTAGCTACCTGGTAGTAGTACTGTACATGTACTCGAACAGGCCAAGGTATCCCGGAAGGAGTGATGCTAGTTAGACATGAAAGATGAAAGTGACTGGTGGCCAGTGTCCTTCAGAGGGCAATTTGAAAATGTGTTGGTCATCAACAGGGGCAATGTTTGATACCAGTGGACACAACGCAACTACACTGTGTAGCTAACATTAGACCACTCCGAGAAAAGTACTGTACTCCGGATCCTACACCAGGTGTGGTCTATCCAGTATCTGACACCACTCGGAGTAGCTAATACATGCAGTCCACGAACGTACACAAGACAATCCCTCTTCATTTATTTGGTGTTCATTGGAAATTCTGGGATTTCTGTGCTTAGACACCTACGAACAGTACAGAATCTGATGATCCCAGTTGGGTCCACCGGAGAATCTGCATATTAAAATACGGAAGCATTGTTGCTCGATTGAATGATGAATCGAATGAATCTTTCATCATTTCATCCAAAAAGGCCAGGCAGGTTCGTGTTTGCACCATAAAAAGAAGATCGACGAAAAGGCTCTCAATTTTTTACGCTAGCTTTATTGCCATGAACAACACAATGTCATCTAACCTCAGCGCTGCTTTGTTGACCATGAGCGGTCAGGCTGGTGATGGGAACAGTGGCATTCATGGCCTAAGCTTCAGTGCCTTCAGTGCCCTCAGTGCCCTCCTCAATCAGGATCAGACTTTATGTGTGCAATTGCTAGAAGCACAGCTGAGAGACCTCAGCTTTCAAGAGCTGCAGGATCTGCAGGATCTGCAGCAGGCCAGGACAACATCCCAAGCCCAAGCTCAAGCTCAGGCTCAAGCTCAGGCTCAAGCTCAGGCTCAAGCTCAGGTTCAGGCTCGTCCTGCTGTTGCTGTCTCCACGGCAGCTTCGGGACATAGTTCCCTAGAGTTGGCAATCCGGGTCCTTCTTGCTTCAGCACAGGATGACTTACACGCTGCTCCAGCTTCAGCCACAGTCCCCCAAGACAACATGAATGACAATCGTAATGACATCACCATCACTACGGATCGCATTCAGGAGATCTGTGCTGCCATCGCCATTCAGCAAGCCACTGATAAGCAGGCTGCTCTCGGTACTCGTACTGATACTCGTTCTGATACTCGTTCTGATAATAATGAGCATGCAAACACCACCGAACTGGAACAGATTCTCGGGCTCTCTCGTCTTCTTGGTATCAGTACTAGTACTAGTAGTACTAATAGTGAACCTTCTCCAGCGACCAGTCAACTTGAAGCCCAGCTGGAGCCACAGAGCAACCATATCAATGACTCTCCAAACAACGAACAAGAAATCCTACAAAGCCTACAAAGGTTCCTTTCGGTCCAAGATTCGGCTCCCACTACTTGCGCGGTGAATGCCCCTGCTGTGCTTACACAAGGTACTGTTGTTGGTGTTGTTGGTAAGCGACGCGCCGGAAGGCGCTCCGACTTTCCTCCAAAGCTACATGAGCTCCTACAGTACTTGGAGCAAGAGGGTCTCTCGGAGATTGCAAGCTACACACCCGAAGGAGATGGATTCACGGTCTACAAGAAGAAATTACTTGCAAAAGAGATTATGCCACTCTTCTTTCATACCAACAAGTACAACAGCTCCCAAAGACAGGTACGTAGCTACAGTCCAGCCATGCTGGAAAGGTACTGGTAGCCATTTTACAAAAGAAACCCTTTCTTGACTCGACTCGACTAACTTGCTTTGCTTTCATTTGACGGTCTATCCATCTGTAGGTCAATCTATACTGCTTTGAACGCACTGACAGCAGCAACAATGAAGTCTCCACCTACAGGCACAAACTCTTTCAAAGGAGCCTCCCGCAACTCTCCGAAACCATGCAGCGCATCAAGATCAAGAGCAAGATCAATACCAAGATCCTCGCCAGCGCCTAAACCTTCCAGAAACGCAAGCAAGCAGAGAAGCAAGTTCAAAGGAAGGCATTTCATCATTGGTTATACAGGCCATGCACAGCAAGGCAAGGCACAGCAAGGCAAGGCAAGGCAAAGCAAGTAGGCTCTCTCGACCATCGCTCCGTCGGCTTCATACAGAGCTTACTCGCTTGCAGTTGCCAAGCCCCTATTTGCATTGCCCAAAGCCCAAAGCATACATCTTCTTCACAGTGTTGCATCTGTATAGAATACATAACTATAGCACAAAACCTACCACATTGTTCGTTCGCCAACCTCAAAGAACCAAAACCTATCATAGCCGGCAACAGCCAATAGCCAGCATTACTCTAGCTGCAGCCACTAGCCTGGTACCTGCTGTGGTAGGGGAAAAGTCTTTTCTCTGTCTGTAGCATGGTTTGGGATGAGATGAGGTGACCGCACGATCAATCAGTTCTTGACTACCAGTCACTAACTAGTACTCCGGAGTAGCTATTTTAATGGTGAAGAATGTTCCTGATGATTGTTTTTCCGATTTCCGATGACTGAGGGATGGGACAGCTGAGGCTCGCTTCCGTCCGCCTTCCAAATTTCTTTTCACCTTTGTCCCTTGTTCTATGGACATCCTTGTTTCCCACGGAAGGGTTCGCTTGGTTCTTCGAGGCAGTGTTCTTTATTCTTTGACAATTCCTTGTTCGCCTCCATTTTACGCAAAGTAGAAAAGGACAACGAGTACGGTAGGGTTGGAGGTACCGGGAGTACCGCACATGAAGGAGAAAGTGCCTCGTCTGCTTGCATCAGCCAAATAAGATAAATATTAATTCTCAGCTTGTCGAGTTATTAGATTCGAGTCTACTAGCTAGCTAGTAGTTGACCCAATTAGCTGGTTGCTTCAATTACAGTACCCACATCTCTGATGCAGGCAGAGGTTGCTTTCTTATTTCTTAGCATTCCAGTAGTCTACTAGCTAGTTAGAATGAACAATCTTTGAATCACGCGACAGGCTGAGAGTTAATTATTTTGAAGTAGTCTAACAAAGTGAGCAGAACTAGAGTCGGCATAGGTACTGTAGAATGCAAACCTGATACTAGCTAGCTAGTACATGTAGGATCGGTACTTCTGTACGCTTTTGATCATGAAAGTCAGAGTCAATACATGTAGACTAGCTAGCTAGATAGGTGATGTGGAATGTAATTAATACTCTAGCTAGCTTTCTATTATAGTAGCTCCACTGGCTTTTTATTATCGGTCACCGCTGGTCATCGAAACAGAAATGAATGTCCCTTCAATCTTGTGACTTGCGCGATCTTGGCGCATTTGAAAAGCCGCTCATTTGCTCCCATGGTTGCTACGTACCAACAACAACAACAACATCCAACCAAAAGCAACGGTAGCATCCAGTGAGACAAGTCAGTCTTTCATCGAGTGGTTGCTATTGCTGTTGCTGCTGCTGCTGTTGCTGTTGCTCTTCCTCTCAACAGCATCACATCTATACTAGTACTTATACTACTAGCTAGTAGTACTACTACAGCTGAATAGAGCTTTCTTGCTTTGCTAGTAGGAGCTTAACCTTAATCAATAAGGTTTGAGCAAGAAGAGAAGAGAAGAGAATCCTTCATTGGAGCTACTAGTAGCTAGTAGTAGCACTAGCTAGTAGAAGTACTGAGACAAGATAAGATAACAAGAAAGACAAGACACTGTAAGTACTCGACAGAAAATATTCCAAAAATTTCGGAGATTTTTCGTTTATCGTCGGGATTTTCGGGGTATCGGAACAAGGGGAGTCGGAGGGTCGTAGAAGACAGGCTGCTCGATCCACCAATCCATTACATTCCAATCAAAATGTATGAGAGTTTCAGAGCCAAACAAAAGGGAAGCAGTTGAATCAGTCCAAAAACTGAAAAAACTGGACCAGCAGGACCATTGGCACTGGAAAATGGCACAAAATTCTACCTTTCCCTCGGTTTTTGGACATATGGGAGCTACGGCCTTTCTCAGGGTCCCACAGAGACTGCAAGCTGGATCTGCCAATCCATTGGCATTCACGTTTGCTAGGCTAGGCTAGGCTTGGCTATGCATATGCTAGGCTTTCCAGCTTGCCTAGTTTGGAGAAGCTTGTCTCGTGTCATTCCTTGCTAGTACCAGTATCTTACCATATCTTACCTTTCCCTTGCTTCTGCTCCCTTCCTTATCCTATCTTATCCTATCTTGATCTTACCTTATGATATTGGACATGACTTACTTACTCGATGGTAGTGGATTGGATTGGCACCATCACGGACACCACTACCAGCCCTCAATCCCATCCCGTTCTAGCTATCTGACTATAGCTGTGGGACCGGACCGGACCTGACCTGAGCTACGTATACCCTCTACCATCTACCACGCACCACAGAACGCCGAACGCCGAACGAGCTAGCAGTACTTACCACCTTGGATCGTACTTGTATTGTGCATCATCAAAAGATGAGCGACCCAGAACAAGTCGAAATTGTGGGATCAGATCAAGTCAAGGAGGAAGTCATCACGGAAAAGCTTAACCAAGTCAAAGCAAACGCACAAATCACTAAAGTCGAAATACTCGACTTCATCACTTCCGAACATCATTCACTAGACCCCATCATACGAACACTACTCATTGACACTTCACAAGACAGAACATGGAAAGCATTCCAATTCATAGACTCCATAGACGTCACAGACTACCTATGGTGGCAAGGACTCAAACACATGCTCATGAGAGATTACGAAGAAGCTCTACCAGACAACTGCTTCCTCCAAGATGAAGAAGAAGGACCCATCATACAACTCAACGTTAACCTCACCGTACCAACAAACACTACCGCTACCTCACTACACACTGTACTCAAAACCATACTCGCCGATAACGATGTTTTCTACGTACAATTCTCACTCGCAGAAGAAGACCACGAAATCCCTCAAGAACTCGACAGAATACTACAAAAGGATGATTCCAACAGATCAACCACGGCAGGTAAGGCATGTCTACAAGAAGAAATGGAAATATTCGTACAGTGTGGATGGGCACAGGATGTCAGTGAAGACTGGAAAGACGTCATGGAAAAATGCATCCAAATTGTCGCCGGTAAACAACGAAGAGCACCCCCACGATCCAATACGGCACCCGCCGTCTCACGAGATACCATGACGAACGCACGAGAAAAGTCACCCAAAGGACGAGAGGCACCGGCCATTATGCCCGCACGACGATTGAGACGAACCAGTACCGATCTCTGCGATGTAGAGACCGACTCCAATAACTCGCTCGGGTTCAACAACAATAACGGCGACGATGATGCTTGCGAACTCAACAATTCACGACGTCGATCGGCACCACGAATTCCAGGCCGCAATGGACGACTCGCCAGAGAAGCACCGCAACGAGCCAAATCCATGAATGTACCGCGATCCCAGAATGCAGCCGATCGACTCGCCATGTTGGGTGCCAGTGGCAGTAGTATGGCCAAGACGACACCGCCCAGTCGGACGCCCAGTGGACGCAGCACTCCCGGAAGAACATCCAGTGGAAGAGTCTTGCCCTCGAGAACGTCCTCGGGACGAGTCGGTGTCTCGCGCTCCTCGTCGGGACGAGTCAGTCGGAGAGTCACGGAAGAAGAAGAGGAAGATATCGAAGCAGAGAACGAGGAGCCACGACGAAGGGCTCCGCCGCCTCGTACGTCCAGTGGACGGGGATTGCCCAGTCGAACGGCCAGTGGACGAGTCACTCGAGGTAATAATTAATTTAAAAATAGAAAGAAACGAAACAGAACAAACAACAAGAAGAAAGGAGAGGCCAAGGACGGACGGTGAGGAGTGCAAGCAAAAACAGGGTCGGCAGCAACAATTCACAGACAGACGAGCGCATCTCCGCTAGCAACATAATGATGAAAAAGAAATCTTGTTTGTTGGTTGGTTGGTTGATGTGCATGTGTGCGCTTGCAACTCGCTCTGCCTTCCGTTGGTCTCCCTCGAATCGATTCAAATCCTTTTTTGTGTCAGATTTGTGTTCTTCTTTTCCGGTTGCATCATCTTGAGAGTTGGAATGGGACGGGCAGGCACCATGGCAGCGAAGACGAAGACCACCACAAGAAAGCGCAAGAGCAAGGAGCGAATCGAATCATTATTTACGTCACATCATTCGATCGATCAACCAACCAACAGCACTTTGAGCTACCGTAGCTTTTGCGTGGAAAGGTCTACGCTGTAGCTAGTGAGAGAAGTAGAAGTTGATCGATAGGAGGAAATACCTGGTAGAACTAGCTAGTAAGGGGCTAGCTAGATAGTAGAATCGGCAGTAGTGGCACCAGCAAAGGTTGTTGTTGCCAGGGTCGGTCCGACTGACCGACCCTTACCCACGCAAAGTTTTGGGCGCAGGTGAAGCGAATGCTTGAGTGACTCAATCCGCCAAAGTTGCGCTGGATTGGCCACGAGCGTGTCCATCATCGTTGGACTGCTCCGCGCATGGGTTTTCGGAATGGCATCTTCGCATGCACTCTGTGATGCTGGTTCTGCTGCAGTGCCTCTTCCTCCATTTCCTCAGTTGCCCGAGGAGCAGAATCCTTCCAACCGCAGGTTTCTGCTTTGAAGCCACTGCTGAACTTGTTGCAACTGGGCTCATGCCCCAACAAGATACCCCATCGTCCAAAGCCACCGCGTCCCACTACTGTACACTTTGTCTCTGCAATCAAGTACATGTCATTGAAAATACTGTAAAAGTTCGCTGGCACTACTGACGTATCGCTTTCGTTGTGCAAGCCAAGATGCAGTGGGTGCTCTCCATGAGGAGGTGAGACAACTGTCACATTTCGAAATGATCCATATTGCTTCGCAATGTGAATGGCCACAGAGGTATCGGCAGCCACCAAGTATGGTCCACCAGATTGGTCGATTTGCGAGAGGCAGTTGAGTGCATTCTTGACCAATACAGTGATCTCACGCTCACCACGAGCTTCGATCCCATATAGTGCCCGAATATGAGCGGTGGAATATTGCCCAGGAACGATCCCTAGTTGATCAAAGCTGTTGGCAATCATACCAGCCACGGGAGGAGATGGAGTGAACATGACGTTCCAGGCATCACGAAAGACATTGATGGCTTCTGGCTCATCGTTGGCCTTGTTTTGATTGTAGCTTTGTTCCCCATAGTGCCAGCTTTGGAAAGTGGTAGACATAATCATCGGCTCGGGCTTCTGATAAAATCTCAATTCTAGGTTGCCAGTTCTCTGTGTTTTGTAAAGCTCAGGCAACAGGAACTTGGGCATCCGCCAATCCATGCCACCTTCTGGAGGTAGCAAGAACTCTTCCAAAGGGAATGGCCTTTCCCAGTAAATGAAGAAAAGTCTCGAAGTGAGATGCGCTACCTGCAAATAGGCTAGGATTGGCCTTAGTCGATCCGTCATTCCTCCGCACTTTGCACCTCGTAGACAAGTCATGATGATGAATCGTTGTTCTCGAAAGTTATCTGGCGTCAACGCCGCTCTCTGCTCCCTGTGCCAGAGAAAATACTGCTTCATCCAGCCTGGCATGGTGCTGGAGTCGTCCCAGAGATTGTCCCGATTTGGATTCATGGCTACGTAGTCGTTGAACACTCCAGTCGTTGACATTTCAGAAGAAGTAGGAGAAGTATCATCCTCCCCTTCTATGTCATCATCAAAGTGGTCCTCCACGAGGCTTACGTGCTGTTCTGCCACCGACGTGTCCTCGGATGTGTCATCGTCATTGTCATTGTCATCTTCTACGAGCCCTCCATGTTGCAGGGTCGTGCTTGGCGTCTGTCGTCCCCGGATCGACTTGGCCAACTTTTGTTTCAGCGCATAAGATACCCGCAACATCTGGTTCTTGTCTTTCGTCGTGTTGGTTGCGGTGGCGTCGTTCACCACCCGTGAGCGTTCAGGAAGTTTCGTTAGTGTGCTTCGTGGATAATGTAACTGTTTTGTATCCCTCGCGACTGCCTGTGCCTCAAGGAGTGTTTCTTTTAATGCCTTCATAAAACTCAAGGAACCTGTCGTTGTCGCCGTGGATGACTCCCTCTCCCCTTCACTAGATTCCTTCCTCTTCATTGTTCTCGCGCCAGTTGTTGAAGGAGCCCCGGTAGAGCTCTTAACGTCGACCAGCTGTTGTGCTGCTTCTAGTAGTTCTTGCTTCATTTCTGCCAGTCGCTTTTCTAATTGACCAATGGCGAGTTTCTTGGTCTCAACTTCCTTGACTGCAATCATCACCTCCAAATCTTCTTCTGTTTTTGCTGCTGGTGACGGTGGAGGTGCGACGGTTCTAATTGCAAGCTGTGGTTCCTTGGGTTGGTCTATTGTGAGTTGTTGCTGTTCTGGTTGCTTCCACTCACAGTTTTGAGACCGCTCTCCGCTGTGCCGTATCCAGCACTTGTGATCATAGCCCATGATTTGAGCCCAATGTCCGAATCCCCCAGGTCCCACCGCCACGCATCGACTCTGTGCCAAAAGGTAGATATCGACAAAGACAGAATAGAAATCAGTGGGCGTGACTGATTTATCACTCTCATTGTGCAGTCCAATATGAAGTGGTTCCTTTTGATAGTTTGGTGCCACAACTGTGACGTTCTTTTCGTATCCATACTTTTCTGCCTCGTGCAGAGCATCTAGCAGGTCCGATGCCACCAGGAAGGGTCCTCCTGGTCGAAGGCTGTTTGTTTATGAAAAAGATGACAGTTGGTTAGAGAAATCCTGGCACAAAACCAGTTGGTTGATTTCATTTCATTCATCCATGATAATATGTGCAGCACTTACTTGGAGGCGCAATTCATTGCATTGCGAACGAGAGCAATGGTTTCGACGTGTGGTCGTTTCTCCAACCCGTAGAGTGCCCGGATGTGTGCCGTTGCGAATTGTCCCGGTTGCAGCTGCAGGGAATCGAATACTTTTTCGTAGAGTTGTTGTACGGGCGGAGACATTTGAAACAAGTGTTGAGTCCATACTTGCTTGAACATCTCCAGTGCAGAGGGCTCGTCGTCTTCAAGCTGTTCATTGTACCATAGCCATCCGTAGTTCCATGACTGATATAGAGTATTGAGGATGGGTTTGGGATTTCGCTTGTTGTGGTACGAAGCAAAGTGTGTGCTCGGCCCGTTTTGTTTGATTTGCGGGATCATGTATTCTGGGACCCTCCAATCCAATCCTCCTTCAGGCGGCAGCAAGAACTCTTCGAGTGGAAACGGTCGTTCCCAGTAAATGAGCAGGATCCGTTTACTCTGATGTGCTGCCCTTAGCATTGGTAAGATGGGCCGTAAACGATCAGTGACGCCCCCGCATCGCATCCCATGAAAGCACGTCATGACGAGAAAGCGGTGTTGTTGCCAGTTGGATTCGTTTATTTGAGATAAGGCCGTCTTATGCCACAAAAAGTACATCTTGAGCCACGCGGGAATGCGAATGCTCGTACTACTGTTGCCCGTGCTGTCGTCGTCATTGGAGGTCACCATGTGTAGCGTTACGGGTACCTTTTTCTTCGGTTTCTTCGTTTCAAGCTTCGTTTGATCCTTCTGCTCTTTAGTAGACGGTGGGGATGATGCAGTACTAGTAATGTTGCCAGCACTGGCGGCCGTGTTGGTACGTAACTGTTCCGAGCTTCGTGGTTGTGTCATTGCGCCCATTGACTTTAGCTTGTTGAGACTCGAACTCCTTGCTTTCGCACTCGAACTAGCTATAGCACTCGTAGCAGCGTAGCCCGATTCAGGTTCGTTCGATAGAATTCGTCCGCTCATGCTAAGGCTCTGATACGTAACAAAACAAGATCCCGCAAAGAGCAGCAGAAGAATCGCGTGTTGACCCCTGAACCAGCTCTTCCCTTTGCTTCTAGAGCTATTGCTAGCCGAACCATGACGCATGCCCCGGAACGATCTCCTCATGCTCTTGCTCATGTTCTATTCTTACTGACTGATGCTCGTCTAGCTAGCTAGCTGATCTACCGACAACAACAACGACAAAATTCGAAGTGGGACGCAGGAACGGAGATGAGCGAATATCTCGATCGCCATGGTCGATAAATTTTTTGGGCTAACGGACGGTAAGTCCCGGGGGACGAAGACAATGGTCAAAAGAAAGACGCACATTTGCCATTTTGACTGGAGAATCTGTATGGCCAAACATGCAGCCGCTTCAACAGCCGACCTGCTGCTACCGGAAGCTAGCTAGTTGCCGTAGCTCTAGCTAGAGTTGTGCTACGTACGGTACAGCTATCGATAGCTAAGATGGAGCCACTGAACATAGACAGGTACCACGATGAGGACTACGAAGACGACGATAGTGATGACAGCACCATGGGAATGCTCCAACCGCCATCGACCCCACTCACCCACAACGATCTTGGCAGCAGCAGCAGCAGCAGCAGCATCCATATCCTTATCAGAAGCGAAGAATTCCATAAGGTTATCGTAGGGGCCGTGGTTCTTCTACTGGTCATTGTTTTTGCTTTGGTGCTAGCTTTGACGTCTACCCACAACACACCCAAAACAAGGACCTCTGTGGAGCTTTTTGGTGCAAACTATACTGTGGAAACAACTTTTGTGTTTGTGCATAGCTATGGATTGGCTGGAAGCATCCCAGAGGCAATAGGCAACCTCACAGAGCTTAGAAGTTTGTCAATCAACAACCAGCTGTCTGGCAGCATCCCCAGTGAAATTGGACTACTCACTGCTCTGACTTTTTTGGACTTGTCAGACAACTTACTTTCAGGACCAATCATATCCGAGATAGGGCTGTTGACACAACTGCAAATCTTGAATTTCAATGGCAATCAATTGTCATCGAGTATTCCCAAAGCAATAAGCAGCCTCACAGAGCTGAGAAGACTGAGGTTGTATGACAACCAGATTACTGGCAGCCTGCCTTCTGAAATAGGCTTACTGACTCAACTGGGAGAGTTGGAATTGTATGACAACCACTTGACAAACATGGTCCCTACAGAACTTGGATTACTCACTTCCTTGTATTGGTTGTACTTGAACAACAACCAGTTGTCGGGCAGTATCCCTCACATCATGTGCTCCAACCCTCGTTTGCATGAAATCCGAGTGGATTGTCCTCCAGATCCCTCTCCTGTGGAGTGCTCTTGTCGCCCATGGCAGTGCCAATGCGGGCCAGAGTAGACTAGGTTTGGCAGGGGACCTCCAGGCCGGTTGGATTTTGTAGGAGGGTGGGTCCTGAGGGTGGTACTGGACATGAAGTAGGACAAAGTTGGGGTCCCTGTAGGCAATGGTTGCTTCCATTTGACCGTTGTAGGCTGCAGCTTCACAAAGGAATTAGAAATGGTGGTAGCAATACCGAAGAAGGGTGTAGAGTTGGAGTGCTGCCAGTTGATGGCGGTAGGAATCTGCTGTCATGGTATAGTAGTACTGCAGTAGAGACAGAATATCATGGCAGTGGGAAGGTAGATTTGGATTTGAAATGCTGCCAATGACGGTTGTAGTGACGGTACCTGAGAAATTAATTGGTCGGGATTGGAAGTAGTGGACCGGTCGGTGCCACTGCAAGGGAAAAATTCCATGGAGATCACAAATACGTTGAGTGGAATTAATGGGAGAGTGGTCCCTTGAGTTTCTCGCAGTGTTGGACGCAGTTGGATTGATCCCAATGACGGGATGTATTTCTTTGCTCGCTGGATTGATGGGAGAGAAAAGAGAAAAGGGCCGAGGAGAAGAAACACAGTGATGGCAGTGGGAGTGCTGTAGATATTACAAAAGTGTAGACCGCTGACAGCTACTCATATGGTGTCTATTATCAAAGAGCAGTCTTGATACCCCCTATGTTATACTAGCTAGAAGAGAGGTGGATCAAGACAAACAAACAAAACAATGGGACCCTCGAAGATCGAAGAGCACTCCACGCCGTCTGTCCGTCTTCCGTCTTCCCGGGAGAATGATCAATCACCTGCGTGATTCGATTCGATACGATTGACGATTCGATCCATTCCACCTCCCCCACATTCCGATTGTAATGTTGGCTAGCTCTCTAGCTAGCTAGCTAGCTAGCTAGCTAGCGAAGTACTAGTAGGTGGAAACGCCGCAATGGAATGGAACGCATCCAACCACCAACAGCTAAAGCTACCCAAGGGATGGAACGGAGGGCAACGACTAGACTACCGTACAAGTGTACTTGCTGGCAACCATGAGATGGCTACCGGTATGTCATACCGTAAGTACCGGTACGGCAAGAAGCAAGAAGCGAAGGTGCTTTTTGGTTTCCTCACCGGTAAAGACGCACACTGTTCCTATCCAGGTAAGCCCGACTGAGCGGCAAGCGGGGACAATGGCATTCCAAACTTGTCCCGAAGCAGGGGTCTCCCTACCCAATTGATGAACACAACATGCACAAGCCCCACAATATCAACCAAAACAAATATCAGTCAACAGCAAAACCAACGATCCATCCAACTGACAATGTCGTCGACGCGAGCACCAGAGACGGACCACCAACTCGGCCCGTATTCCCGCTACCGGGACTTGCCCGAGGATGAAAGTCGGGTGACCGAGGACGAGTACTACGCGGACGACATTGCGGCGTTCAACCGCATTGGAAACTACTTTGACGAAGAAGCTTCCTTTTGCCCCAGTGGCGCTTCACGATGCTCGTATTACGACGACGACTGGTCCTACTACTCGGAGCGGTCGTACGTTTCCGGAGAGCGGTCGTACTATTCAGATGAAGAACGCTCGTACTATTCAGATGAGGAACGCTCGTACTATTCAGAACCAGAGGACGAAGACGAACAAATCGACGGAACCGAAGCACAAGAGTTGCGATCCACCCCTGAAATGGGCCAGCCGACAGGTGAAAACGACAGAGACTCCAATTCCGAGGCCATGCAAGCCGAGGCAAATTCACGACTAGCTGAAGCCCAAGTCTCACATGATGGTAAAGACGAAGCACCTAGCGGTTCTGGCTTGGAAAAAGAAGATGATGAACTCGACTGCAAGCCAAAAGCAAAAGATGGACCTCAATCATCTTCACGTGATGGGGAGATCCCCCAGCTGAGCACCGAGATGGACCAAGGCGAAGCGTGGGTGGCTGAGTTGATCCCCGTGCTCGGGTCAATGGGAGCAACAAACAGCACGCAGCAGCCTATGGAGAGTATACAACCAGCGGGAGACGATGCCAGCGTCGTCGTCGGCCCAGCGGCGGCAGCCACATTGCAAATTGATGAAGGTTGGGCAGCTTCGGTTGACTTACCGGTAGAGGCGGGGCAAGAGGCCGCTGGCAGACCCGATGAGGCCATTGTCAATCCACAAGCCCCGGAGCTATTGCCATTGTTTGCTCGACCCATCGATATCGATGCAAGACCCAACATCCCTGCCGATGACAACGACGACAGATCTTACTACACGAATGAGGGATCTTACTACTCGGGATCCTACTCCAACCATGAGGGATCTTACTACTCAGGATCTTGCTATAGCCTGCGTTCCCCATTGATTTACACTTCGTCTTGGGAACGAAATGATGGACTGGCATTCTACAACCTGGACTTGAAGGTTATGGATGAATCGTCTCCTCGGAGACAATGGCTTGGGACTTGTGGGAATTCATTTTCGGTTTACGCAAGCCTCACTTACCGCCCTACCAGCAAGGTGCCAATCACAGGAATCACAGCGTTGGACGACGAGATCTGCTCCTACCTACCCGCAAAAGAACCGGTTGGCTTCCTGAGGGGGACACTCTACCGCCCACCTTTTCGATCTTTTGGCTCTTCGGAGGAAACGAGGCATCCACTCCACCATGTATGCCGCATGTTTTTCAGCGAAGACGGACAAACCGTGCTAGACAATCCCGAGCTGGGAGAAGACAGTTTGTCTTCCGGGTGCTTCTTTTACATCGACAAAATTGGACTCCAGCCGGGCCACACCGGCCATGATGTGGGGATTGCCATGATTTACGAGACAATGGATCTACTCAATAACCAAACGGATTCGCTGGAAATCAAATGTTCGCTGGCTGTAGCGCAACCCATGCCTCTCGGGCGGGTGCACGCAAGACCCGTACCAAACTCTGCCCCTTCCTATGACGGGTGGTTGCAGCAGATGGATGTCAACGGCAACGACGAACACTACGACTTCCACCTGGCCAGAAAGAAGCTCTGGTTGCAATTTGCTCGTTTGGGTTTTCGTCAGGCCGGCAAGGACCCTGCTCGCTGCAAAGTCTGGTTTGCCACTCCTCGAATGCTGGAAAATGCTGTGGAGTGGGAAAATGACATCAAGTATGACTGGCAACCCAAAGAGACGATTGCCGCATCAGTTGAAATGCATGTATACGAGCCACCAATCAGGGACATTGCGACCATCAAGCAGCGAAAACTGCAGAGGCTGCTTCTTGACATGCACAAGGCTCTGCGTGGAGTGACAAATTTAGAGGCTGAAATTCGCGCTGGTTTGAATTCCTGCGAGCGCGAGTGGTGTCTGGGTGTTCCGCCCACAGCGCCGAGGCTGATCTTTGAATCTTGGGCGGAAGATTTACGTAGCCAGTGTCTTGGCAGCATTTTGGAATCCGAAGTGAGATCTGGGATCTCGACACTGGAGTGCATGATGGAAACGTTACGTTGCTGGTTGAATGATGGTGATATCGATTTGGACGCTGCAAGGGCCTTGCATTACTGCGTGGCGAATGCACCCGCTCTATCTGGGGCAGGGACTATAATTCTGCATGAGCTCGTGGCCAATGGGGCATTGCCACACCTACCAGACGAGCAGGGAGAGACGGCTCTCCAAATGGCTGCTGGCCTCGCCAGGCCCGCATGTCTTTGCTATTTGCTTTCGGATCCTGTCATTCGGTATCGCCGTTATGGAGAAATCACCGCGAAGCTTCACTGTGGCTATCAGAGAGCCTTGAAACATGATCTGAGTGACGACCGCGCTTTGCTACCTTCTGCGGTCGAGCCCTTCGTTGAATCGGCACTGACCGTAATGTCCCAGTTCCAGAGAGATGCCTTGGTTGGGCATATTCTCCCTCCGCGGACCCTTGCGGTATTGGCTCTGACTGCGCTCGGTGAAGTCCGAAAGATGGAAGAGAAGCTGGCCCAAGCCCGTCTTGACGACATGACTCCTGCGGTTTGCGAAGAAGTGAACCCCCATTTGACTTTCGTTCCGGCTTCTTGCCTGCAGGATCAGCTCCGATACCTTCGCGGCGTCCGTCCCGTTGGGCGGTCTCATCCATGGCCCCTCCCTGTGTGGTTTCGAAACAGTGATCAGCGCTCGCGACGCTCGCGCCGTGGCCTCGGCGTTGGTGGGTTGCGACGGCGAACAACAGAGAATGCGTGGGCGCAGATTGCGATGCATCATCTCGAGCTTTGGAAGGCCCTCTATCTAGTTTTGAAACGAGGCAACGTTCCCACCAGACAGAACCTCTCCGACGCAATGGGGAAATCGAACGGAAAGCCACGTGGACCGCCGTGGTCATGTCATGGATTCGAACATGTGCTTGCGGCTCTCTTTGCCGTTGTTGAGAAACTAACCGCAAAGGAGCGATCGGAGCTCCTTTCCGATTCTTCTCATTATGATCTGCCAGAGACCCCGTTGGACGAAATGTATGTCGTTGTGTGGTGGTTGTGTTCCAAAGATTGGAACCCAAGGATGAAGAGAGGCCCTGACAACGGGGGTTGGGAAAGATTACGCAGGCGCGAAAGGAGGACCACGATCACGGCCCCGGTGCCAAGCAGCAGCAAGCGAGGGCCCAGCAGCCCGAAGCACCAAAGCCCCAGAAGACAAAACATATAAGGGGGTTTTAGAGCAGGGAAGACAAAACACGTTTTCGTCGCGCCGAAACGATGCAATGGCTGTGAGCAGCAAAAAGACCGCAACGGGTCCGAACGTAACTTGCAAACCGATTCTGGAAGCTCAGGTTGCTGCGTCGATAGAACTGAGCCAGCAAGCTATGTCTAAGTTCTACTAATAGCCAGTAGCCAGTAAAAGGTGGCTTTGGCCTTTCTATTCTAAAGATTAATTTTTTCACCTTCAGGCCTGTCAAAGGTCAATCAAGGGCTGGCTCAGGCTTCCGGTGGGCTCGATGTGCTCCTGTTTGCTCCTACCAGCTGTACCGGTTTGCTCCAATTTTAATACCACCCACCGCAATCGAAGGGTTACGTGAGAAGACCGGTGGGATTCGATTCGATTCGATTCGGTTCAACGTTCATTTATTGGCCTCGGCTTCTCCTGCCTGGTGGGATTGAATCATTCCTGCGACTTAGCTGTTTTAAATACCGTTGTACACGTACGTGTAGGTTTATTGGAATGAATGCAAAGCAAGCTTGCCTATTCTGGTACTTAGCTCCGACAAGCTAGCTAGTAGTACTTACTGGAGTAGCTTTGGAGTGGTAAAAATTTAATAATGAAACAGTAGAGCACACAATGGAACAACAGCGTTGGAGAACGATGAGTTAGATGCGCTCCTGTTGCTTCTGCAAGAGCAAAAATCGATTGTCATTCGACTGGATTCCTGAGAGAGACACTCGGCTTGATTTACATCATGCACGCAAACTGATACAGCTCCTGTACACCGTACCGGTTCATCACTTTCACCTTTTGCTGCATTGAATTTGTCGGTCTCTGGGTGCTCCTACCTAGTGGTAGCTAACTAGTGGTGGGAGCCCTACGATGGCACGTTGGTACAAAACCACTCACTGGATCAACTGTTGCAATGGACGTGACTCCTCACTCCATTCTGACCACTGACTTGGTGGTAAAAAAATAAAATAAATGGATATCTCCGCTCTTTTAATTCGTAAAGGACGGTTGAAGAAATGAACCGGGATGAACAGGCATGTACGGGCAAATTACAGAGGCTTCCAGTTAGTCAATTATGTACGAGTAGCTGAGTAATATTGACGATAGCTACAGCTGTAGCACAGAGACTCGGCAACATCCCAACACAACCATCCACAGTTTTATTGAGTTATTGAAAGTTGTAAACTTCTCAGGACCATAATGAGAATGATCAACTCCCACCAGCTGCTACGGTAGGTAGTCGGGCAGATGTCGAGTAAAAAGTTTGAGACTGAACTGGTGACTCGACTCGATACCATCATCTGGAACCGACTTGGCGCCTTGGGTTTCGAAGAGCGAAGAAACCGTGTTTTACGTACGAGCGAGGTCCCAGCGTTCAATTTCATGCAGTGCTTTGTACCAGCACGGAACCGTCCGTACAACTCGACTGCTTGTAGAAAACGCGAATTCCATACGTCATAGTCACCTAATGCTGCTCGAGCAGTTTCTTACCCTCTGCAACCATCATTTCGCCAAAGACAACGCAAAGCACTTCTGCATCTTACAAAAACCTGCATGTAACAAAAAAAAATTTGCTAGATGTTGGCAAGCAAAATGGAGAAAATTGTTGCGACAGTTGCCTGCATGGCTAAGGGTATGCAGGCATACTTGAGTCGTTGCGAGTCTGATCTTTTGGAGAGAAGCAACCATGAAGTCCTCGCTTTTGTTGTGGCAGTTGCCTGTGTGGCTTACGGTACTGGCATGCAAGGCTACTGGAGTGCTTCTGAGTCCGATCTGGTCCATTTTGTGGTCTGTTTGGTTGGTGCATTGATTGGATACATTGCACTGTGTGCCCTCGTCAAGATTGTTGCAGTGAAGCAAACCGAAGGAAACCAGCTCCTATCCAAGGAGGTAGCGTGGATGGCGTGGCTTCAGCGAGGCGCTGGCTCTCGGCCTGAGCAAAATCAACCTCTGAACATTCGGGTCGCAAGTTTCTGCCGGCATCTTGTCACAGATGAAGCAATCTTCATCGGAACCCCAGTTCTTGTTTGGACCTTTCAAGAACGAATCATGTTCCTCCCATTTGCACTGAACATCAACGAGATTGCCAATGGCTTGATGAAGTGGTGCGTGCAAAGGCCACGGCCCTATTGGGTCGAGAAAGACATTATCAATCCTATCAAGAAGCAAGAACTGGACTATTCGTTCCCAAGTTCCCATGCTCAAACCTCAGCCAGCTTTGCAACCACCCTCTTCATGGAGTTTGGTGTCAACCCCATCACTCTGACCATATCATTTCTTTGCGTTGTTGTTTGTATCTCAAGAATCACACTAGGCGTGCACTACCCCACTGACGTGGCTGCTGGAGTCTTCCTTGGTGTGATTTTGACCTATGGACTAGAGAAGGCAGATGTGCTGAATCAGTTCATTGAAGACTTGGATTTACAAGAACAACTCAAGGCACTAGCCATCTTTTTTGCACTCATTCCCACGGCATTTGGGCTCATCCGTCACCTTTTTCAGCAAGACAGTGCCACCCTAGCCAAAATCCAGACCAAGGATGTCTTTCGCAGTGGCAACAACAAGGTCAATGTCCATCAAATGGATGCGACGATTCGAAGCCTTGACAAGTACAGCTTCACTTTGATCAGCCTGTTTGGATCTGGTGTGGGATGTGTTCTCATGTTGCAAGACAATCGAAACTACACCATGCAGTTCCCCGTCAGTGCAATGACGTTGACAGAAGTAATGCAGAGCGATTTCTTGTGGAAGCGCATCTTGCTTGTTGGAGTCCCCATCATGCTCTCCTTGTTCATGATGGCATTGGTCGTGCCCAAGAAATTGACTTCCAACAGGGGCAGCAATCAGGCTACAAAGTTCAAGTGCCAGATTCTCGCCCTCTCCTTGAAGCTTATTGGATCGTTCTTGTTGGGACTATGGGTCATGTACGGATGTCCCAAGTGTGCTTGGCTACTGCATTGGGAAGATCCCCTGATGGCATGCCGGCATCATCATCACCGGAATCAATCTCTTTTGGTGACTGGTACCATCATGAGCAACAAACAGTAGCCCCAGCTGATGAGTTGAAGAACAGATGTCTCTTGAGCCCTTTCAACCACACAGCTGCAAGCCCACGATACTATGCTACATCCAAGTTGGTTGCCAGTGTGGAGGAGCTGCAGGCAACTATCAACACTGCTCGAAGAGATGGACAGGTGGTAAGAGTTGTTGGTGCCGGCTGGAGTGACCGAGATCACTTTGCAGCAAACAATCGAACCATGTACATCTCTTTGGTTGGACCCAAGCTTCAGGGCTATCAAAAATTGGAAGAAGTTGGACCCCAAGAACGCCCATTGGTTGTGGCTGGTGCTGGAATTTTCATTGGTGGCCAGCAGTGGTTATCGGGCTCCTTGCAAGTGCAATGGGAAGATTCCTTAGTTCACAAGCTTTGGCTGGATGGCCTGGCCTTGACAAGCATCCCTGATGCCATTGGGATGACATTGGGTGGACTCCTGAGCACGGGATCTGATGGATGGTCTTTCATTGATGACATGGACTCAGCTGGTACTCCTTTTGAGGGCAGTAGCAACACCATCAGTAGCTCTGTATTGGGCTTTCGGTACATTGATGGGATGGGCCAACTCAGGGAAGCCTGGAAGAATTCCACTGACAACGAGTTCCAAGCATTTGGAGTTTCTTTAGGACTTGCTGGGATCATTTATGAAGTTATCTTGTCACCAGTTGATGCCTACTGCATCCAATTGTCCTGTATCAACACTGTGGCATCGGTTTGCCCCAAACAGGAAGCGGTAAGAGGACAATGGCATGGATTCTTGCGCAGTGGCATTGACAAGTATGACACACAGCAGGGATTCAAGAAAACACTGTGGAAAGCATCAAAATCACCAGAAACAGGAGAGATCGTTTGTGGGGAACAGCCTTCATTGGGCAATCAAACCTACCACGACAACAGCTTTCCGGTGATTTTCTTTGAGCACCCCTACTCCATGACATCTTTCGATTTCATAACTGAGATTGTATCATTGGCGCTTGTAAGTACCAATAAATAGTGTGACACAGACTTTCAACAAAGATATGTCAAGAAACTGACATTTACACTCGATGGTTTTCCTTCTTTCTTGAAAGCGTTGGTTGTCACAAGAGTCCTGTCAATCAATTGATGACCTCTGTGGTGAAACCACAATTCGCCGGTACTTGGAAGGGAGACTGGGGGTACTGCCTGAAACACTTGGGGAAGAGCACTTGCTTGCATTTGAGGGTTGTGCCAGGTCCTTGGTGGAGCAGAAGCGACTCAAGGCTCTAGGCCAGCGGCCTTCCTGGCAAAAAGAGTGGTGGGACAAGACAATGCTTATGGAATGCTATGGGAAGGTCATGGACCACTTTGGCTTGTCCTCAGATGAGGAGCAGCAAGGTGTTTACCGATACTATGAGGGCGCCTTTCTTCATAGGGCCGTGCATTTCCATCCCCAGCACAACATGGAAGTGTATTTTCCATTGGAAGACAACTCAAAGAGTGGTGAGGAGATTCTTTGCCTAATTGAAAGCTTCATGGAGGAAGAGGGACATGATCGAGCCGGTCAGCAGGTAGACTATTACTTTTCCAAGACCAATGATGACTTTTGGATGAGCCCTGAGAATGGCAAATCACCGATGGGGGGCAATGCGACCAATACGTATACTCCAGGTGAAGTATTGCGAGTCAATATCTACACTCACTGGGTTGTTCTTTCCCAAGACAAGCATACCAAGTTTGAGCTCTTTCTCGAACATTTTAATTCACAGAACCTCACCTACACTCTGAACTGGGCAAAGGCTCTTCCCGTCAACCCAAGACTGTTGTCCCGTGTCCTCGAGAACTACCCTCATCTCGAAGAATGGAAGGCTTTTGTGCGTGCAAGGGATCCTCATGGTGTCTTTCTCTCTGACTACTGGCAAAAGATATTCTGGGCTGACAACTCATCTAGCTTCTTGTCGTGATGATGGAGTGGCTCTGTGCTTCCAAGTACGCAGACACACACTTAAATTTGCATGGTGTTCTGCGAGACAATACAAGATTTAGTTGTAGAGTCTACATATATACATTCCATGTGGTAGGATAATGAACCTTACCTTTTACTATTAATGGCATGTGTTGTAGCTATTGAATGATTTGCCCATGACATGACAATGTGCGCTGTGGTGCATGCCAAGTAGAAAGAAGATTCATTTTATTGTAGCCCTACAGCCTAGAGATCAAGTTTCCTCTTGGTCGCTGTGACGCAGGAGGAGAAACGACGCAATGGCTGTGAGCGGCAACGCAGAGATCATGAAGGGTCCGATGGATGCCTTGCAGACCGATTCTAGAAGCTTCCGGGTGTCCACAAAGTCACCAAGGCGCCAACGCATTGTTGCCATGAATCTTGTCGCATACAAATGAAATGCAACAAAGGCGAGGCTGCGGATTGCAAGACCAACCACAAGATCTGGTGCCACATACCAGTACCATCCGGTGTGGCACCTTCGGTTTGGATCTGTAACAGACAAATCGTTCCCCGCCAAGCCAACGATTGCAAACGATGACTTCTCCAGGGGAAAGTTTGGGGCTGCGCCGCGATCGACTGTGAAGCCACTCTGTATTGGCATGCACTGGTGCTCCGACACCGCCATGGCTTCCACGAAAAACCTCGTCGGAGACAAGAAACCGCACAGCAGCGCAATCCCTGAATTCTGGTAGATATCCGAGAACAAGAACGGGCTCGTTAGCCCACCAAAGATCAACCCTCCAAACTCCAAGAACTCTGGAAGAATGATTTGAAAGTAGATTGGTGACAACATCGATCCAAAAAGGAGACACCACGAATTGTTCAACCACGACAGCAGCAGAAATGCCACAAAGTAGTTGGAGAGTCGAGTGGTCGATGCCCGTAGCCACCAGGGAAGGAGAGCCAGTATGAGAGACTGGAGTGTTTGCTGAAGCGTGTCAACGATACTGAACGCCAAGAGGAAAGCTGTCGTACTAAGACCGTGCTGTGCCTCCCATACCACCGAATGCCGTCGCTTCAACAGTGCATTTGCCGCGAAAAGGGTCGCGATTGGAGATACGATCAAACACAAGTTCTGAGCGTAGCTTTTGGTTCAAACAACAATGGGTAATCGCGAGGCGAGTTGAGTCGGGTCGTCTGGATGTGATCGAAGCATGCAAAAAGAAGAGCACGTACTTTGTCATCTCGTTGTTTGGAAGAAGAGCATAGCTGAAGAGCTACGGGAGAGTTGGCACAGAGTGAGAACGAAGCACCTTGTCGATGAAGACAGCATCACAGAAGCCAGAGCGTCGAGATAGTTTCTCCCAGCTTACTTGTTCAAAGAAATTATCGTTGTCTTCCCGCAAGATAAAAGACGGGTCCTCGGTGACTAGATACTGGAGTCGGATCCCCGACGGGTCGCTGTCTACCGAAAGCGTAGTGACACCAGAGATAAGTGCCACGACGAAAAGAACTCCGCATAACAGGACAAGCTCGGTAATCTTTCGGTTCCAGGTTAGCTTTGCAATGATGTTGCTTCCCAATCAACTCGACACCTGTCATTCACATTGGTCTTACCATGTTGAAAACGTTGCGCCACAAGACGAGGAGCGCCCGTTCAAGCTGACAGCAAAGCTGCAACGTGAACGGCGTACTTTTGATGGATTGATGGCGGCCATACTTTGATGGTTCAGGTTTGAGGTAGTAAAGGCGCTTGGTTTTCTTGGACAGTCGCTGCGCTTGGTACACCGACCACTGTTTGGCAGCTTCTTCCTGGAGATAGGAAGGTATGTCTGCTGCGCCGGACTCGCGAAGGTGCCGCATACTGACCAAACGAAGCGCTGCTTCGTCGTTGCCTCTTTGTTGTGTCTTGCTCTGTGGCACAATCTTTCCATTGCTAATGTCTTGGAGTGCTTTCGCCATGCTGGTCTTGAAAGAGGCCCCGGAATACCCAACTTGCTTGATATACTTGGTGGCAAAATGCGACGGCCCAGAAAAGCAGACTCTTCCTCGACCCGTGAGAAGCATTATTGAGTGACAGCAATGCCAGACTTGATCTATCGTTGCTTCTGTCAAAGCAACACAGGCTGTCACATTTTCAGAATCCAACACAGCCTTCAACGCCGCACAAATTGGCAGAGCCGCGTCTGTTTCTTCCAGATTCAATAAGATGACTTGTGGTTTCGCCATTAGTGTCATGGCAATGTTCACGATTGTACGGTGGACGGTGGTGGGCTTGTCGTCCAGCAAGAGCTCCTCGACCAGGATCTCTGAAACTCGGAGGAGACCCAGCTTGGCCAGAACAGATTCTGCAAGGTCGATGATGTCCAAGGCCTTCATTTGTCCACCGAGACGCAGAAGACCTGAGTAGATCAAGTTTTCCTTCAAAGTCAATTCGGGATAAACTCCATCTTTGCCAACCAGAGGCACAAAACCAACTATACTTTTGAGGTCAGAGGTCCAACGTCAGAACCGTTCACCCAAATATCACCTGTGATTTGATCAGGAGCGTATCTCCCACCGATGCAATCGAGGACCGTGGACCTTGCTTTGCCTAACGTGCATCGCCAAGAACGAACAGTCCGAGCCATGTGACGTGAGGACAACCGCAATCAATGTTCAATCCCATGGCACGAGCGTCAAGTCGATATCCTCGTTCGTACCTTCGCCACCCACAATCATGGTCATTGTCCCCGGTCGGAACCTGCACGAGACATCCTCCAAGACAGTCGTTTCTTCCGCGCCGATTCCAATTGGAACAGAGACAGAAATACCCTCCAACGTAATGTCAGTTGTTGTAGTATCCTTGTCTTTATCGTGTTGTGGATTGTCATCATTAGAGACCATCTCTCGGAGAAATTTCCCATAGTTTTGGCAGAATTCTTGGCGACTAATGGCATAGAGCTCGCGAGGACGTTTGAAATTGCCCCCCAAGGAGAAAACACGGAGAGCCGTCCTATTGTCCTTTCTGAATCTCGTGGTCGGTTCGTAGATTTGAGATTCACTGAGGAAGGAAAACACGCCAGAGTGTACGAACGTGGACAATGGATCCCGAATGGCATCATCATGATTGTGTTCCCGCAGCGACAGCCCGTTGGTGTTGCTGCGAGTTTCGTACTCCACCAAAGCCAGGAAAAGAACGCTGGCACCTTCCTTATCCACGACGAGGGGTATGCATTCTTCCAAAGCAGCAACGGCATGACAAACAAAGACCTCACGAGTGAGGCCCGCGGCGTCGTGTTCCATGATGGCGCGAACACCCAATCGGTTCATAAAGTGTTTGATCTGAACATTGTCGAGATCAAAGACGGCAGCAAGCTCTTCAAAGGATAAATAAGAGTCGCTGTCCCTGTCGATCAGGTCGAACAATTCTGCCATGGCAGTTCGTTGGAAGTAAATGTCATCTTCAGGGATCTGTCGAATATTGTCCCAATGGTGCTGTTCTCCTAGTTTTTTTTTGATTTCATGTTGTTGGCCAGATCGTTAAAGAAGGGTCTTGTGTGTTCCATTTGCTTTTGTCGTTTCTGAATGGCCTGCTCTCTTTGGAACGAATTTGGATATTGCAAGCTCTGTCGTTTTCAGGTTTCCTCCTTGAGTGCCCGGCGCCGTTTGACAAGGACCCCCAGGCACCAAAGTAGCATGGAGGTGTACAAGATGGGCAAAACCACGTTGAGTGTTTTGTTCCTTGCAAGGCTCTCGGCTCCTTCATCACATGCCGGGCATGAAATCTCAGGAACTGCAGTCTGGAAGGCAAGGCAGGAATTAGGTATGGTCTTACATGTACTTCGACAGGGCAAGCACTTGTACAGTACCTGGTACGACTGTACTTGTACTTACCTTGTGGGGGCAAAAGAAGCCCTTGGGACATGTTAGCCTAGTCTTTGAATTTGGACAGTAGCTACCAACAGGGCAGTTTCTGAGGGTATTGTTCTCGCGGGGACACCAAACTCCTGCCATGATATCCCCGAACCCAAGCCTTGCTGTGTCATTGAAGAGTCTGCGCATTTCATCACAATTGGTTTGTTTTAGGCCGGTCTCGCAGACATAGCCATTCGGGCTGGGTAGACGGTAGTCATCACGAATCTCTGAAATCGTTCCAGCGACGTTGTTGAACTCGGACGCCAAGTCTTTGGAAGAAGTTGTCATCTCTTCGATATAGCTAGATCTATACTATATACTGTACGTAGTATCGCTCAGTATCACTTAAACGGCAACTTCAAGGTCTGAAGCGGACAGACTCGACTCCGCGGGAATGGTACCGGTAGCGGGGAGCACTGGTAGAGCAGGGAGGACGGGAGCAGGGCTAGGGGGGAAGGGGAATGCGATGAGCAAAAGGAGAAAGGAGAGGGGAAGTGGAGAGGGAGCAAGAGGAGGCAAGATTAGCGGAAGAGTTCATGTGCACAATGGGCATCCCAGAGAGAACGGCGGTAGCTCATTGCGCCAGCCGGGACACGAGAGCTGCAGGCAATGATCAAACCTCCAATTATTGAGCAGCCGAGCACCAGTACTGGTAGCTCAGGCCACCAATCACCTACCGGTACCTATCCACCAGAAGGTCAATAAGGGATCTAGCTGGATATGGTCTGGTGGCAATCGGAAACAACAAATTCAATGATGATGGAGTACTGTTTGCTGAATAGATATGCCTTAGCGAAAAACAAAAAGATGATGCCAGTGGAGCTCGGAGCTACCGTAGAATCGCTCCTTTCAGTCGACAATGTGACACGAAAGAATTAAACTTTGCATTACCGCAGAGACCTTCCTTTTTAATTGAAATCTTACCACGAGACACGAGAGTGTGAAAATGATCCAGTAAGTTAATTAATTAATTAAGACGTGGATATTTTTTTAAAGTAGACTTTGGTGGCCTGAGATCAAAGCGTGTTTTCGGGACGCGGTTGGCCGAACGTGGAAAACGAGCACACGGTTGGGTGCTTCTTGCGCGTGCTGGTTGTCTGCGAAAGCAGGAAAGGCACCGCAAACCTGCGACATCTCGTACTCCCATCTCCCTGTCTGGGAAAGCCACTGATTTTGCGCATCATTGTTGGGAAGAAACTTGTTATGTGATTGCTTACTATGCGGTTAGAGGGAACTATGGGGGGGGGGGCGGTGGACGCCAGAGAACAGAGAACCAGGGCAACAACGCACAGCCGAACAGAGAATCAGTCGTTTGCCTCTGGCCTCTAGCTCCTACCGGTAGGCGATCCGCTCACAGCATCCGCGGCCTATCATCATCCTCAGGTATCAACGATCGAGGCAGCCTGAACCAGACATGCATCAAATCGACAAAACGGTGGCGACAGCATCATTCAAGGAGGTACTATTAATAAAATAGTGGAAGCCATGGAAGATTCCACCGATGCCTTTCGTCTTCCTGGCATGTCTTTCGATACTCAGATGTGCATGATCTATCCCTCTTCCAAAGCAACCAAGGCCAGAGCAAACAAGCAACACAGCTCATACTACTGGGCACCAGCAGATGCCAGTACAGCCCCACGAGACAAAAACTTCAGCAGAGAACAAACGTCTGCAATCTAACAGCATTCATGTCCCAGTGCCAAAGAAAATCTCATCAGAACACAGGGTGCAGCTCCAAAGGGCGAGGCGGATTCACGGAAGAAGAAACTTGGCGACAGCCGGAAAGACGGAGTGATAAATCAAAAGGAAATGTATGAACTCAGTACTAGTAGCTAGTACAGGTACGACTATTACTATTACTGCACGAACAAGAAGACGAAGAAGATCCGCTGGCACCACCCCCGGTGCCTCTCATGATCACAGCTCATACCAATGGCAAATCAAAACCTACCAAAAAGAAGGCCAGCAAAACACCGCATCGTACCACTGGTACGTCTCAAAAGCAAGAGGACCTGACTCACCAGCGTTTAGACCCACAAAGCAGTCTCATGAGACTCACTGCAGTTTTGGCATGCGCCATCGGGGTTGTTGCTACAATCCACGGCTGGATTGACGACCGCTTTGTTGCTCCTGGGGCGGGCTCCACACGATGGCACCACAACGGGCCAGCCGCAATAGCATGGTCCCCATAGAGATTCCTACTGCCCACTGCCCCCTAGTTCATAAAATGAATGACAATCGTACAGACCAAGCACGACGATGCAAGAAGCCACCACGGAACATTTAAACAGTTGAAACCGGCCCACAGTCTTGTAACTACATAGAGTGCTCGAGATGGGTAGCAGCTGGGGGAGCACAGTAGATAGGATTGAATTGAATTCACATTGCATCCTCAAAGCGACCTATATTTTTTACATTGAATCAAGCCGCAAAATGCTCCTGGTTTTTAGAATCCCCTCTCCATTTGTCGTTTAGCAGCCTTTGATGCCAATACTTGATAGTGCAAGGCAACACCAAAGTCGTCCTCTGACAAAGATTCAATACGAGTAACAAAGCCATCTTGCAAAGCATCTTCAAAGGGCTGGTACGCAGTGTCTCCCAAACTTCTATTGTGTTGGTCTTTGTCTGCTTGGTCAAACATAACCACTGAAAATTCATCATCATGAAACACGGAAATCCCAATGCAGTTCCAGGATCCCATCATTACTACCTTGCTATCAATCATAGCCATCTTGTAGTGGATGCAGTAATTGAGTTTGTCTGCAGAATTCTTGGATGTTGGTATGTAGACTTCAACACCCAGTTCCAGCATACGTCTCACTGCCTGACCAAAGAGTTTGTTGAAGAAGCGCAAATCGGTTGTCTCCCCTGAGTTGGTAATCAGGCGAATCCTGACTCCTCGAGCATTAGCACCTGCAATGGCTTCTTCCAGACCCGGGAGTAGCTGAAAGTATACATGGACCAAGTCTATCTTCTCCTTAGCAGTCTCAATCAAATAGAGGAGCGTGGAGAAGATAATGTCCTCGCCTTTGGGGTTTCCTGCTTTGTGGTCAAGCTGGAACAGAGCCACCTCACGATCAACATAGATGGGGGTTGTCGAGTCTAAAGGTGAGTTCTGTTGAATGCTGGTGGTTGTTGATTGATCAAGGTTGAGGCTGGGCCCACCAAGGGAAACAGCCACGACAGAACAGGTTTCTGTGGATGAGTCCAAGTCTATTGATTCGCTTTCTGTCGGTTCGATTTCGTCACCATCATCCCCACTCAGCTGTTTGGATTTGGCTTTGGTTGCAGTAGAGTGTATGGCTTGGGTGAGGTGGTTGACATGTCTGGACTTGCCCCAGAGGCTCTCATACAAGGACCGGGTGCTGGTACCAAAGCTGCTGGATTGGAGAGTAACATCCATGTCTTTGAAATGGAAAGTATCGGATGCCAAGTATTCATCACTAATGTTGCGCCCTCCAGTTAAGAGATAGCTGTCATCCACTAACATCATCTTGCGATGTGACCCACAGACATAAGATGGTTTCTTCTCTTCAAACCATGTGTCTAGCATTCTGACTTTGATGCCACCCTGAACCAGCTTGTGCAGAACCTTGGTCTCTTGGTTTTTGCCAGTCAGCTTTTCCTTGTGAAACAGATAGTACAGGTTGCAGGCATCTACAATGACCCTCACATCCACGCCAGCTCGGGCTTTTGCGATGAGAGCTTCTGCCAAGAGATTGCCACTATTGGAATCTTCAAAGCACCAAGTGATGATCCAAACCGCCGACTTGGCCTTGGCAATAAGTTGTAGACGCTCTTCTAGACTGGCCTCATTACCAATCGTGAAATTGTCAACATTGGCTTGGCTTCTGTGCCAAGTGTCCTGACTCGTATTGCCACACTGTACATCATACTTTTGCAAGTGCTGTTCTAGGCCGTCTGCAGAGAGGTCAGCAGAAGCTTCTACCTGTGGACCTGGTTGGACTTGGGCTGTGGGGCTGGCAAGATGCCCCTCTGCAAACATGTTGGTTCGGTATTCTCCGTAATAGGCAAAGGAAGAGCTAGCAATAGGAATCAACCCGGTTCTGTCTGCTAGAGCCATGATGATCCTGTGAAGACGTCCTCCAAACGGGTCTTTCATGGGCCATCCAAAAATGGGATCTTTACGGCAGGGAAGGTTCCGGTACGTTGCCATCAAGCGAGCCACGAGCAGGAGTCCCACTAGGGGTCCAAAGAAGACGAGTCCTTCCGCCAGATCAGAGGAATGGATGGTTTGAAGCTGAAAGAAAGCGGACTCCATGGTTGTCATTGTCATTTTTATCATTATTAATATTTTGTGTGAAGTGTGAATGTGTCGACTTTTGAGATCCACTGGAGAGATTTTGTGGGGTTTTGGGTTTTGCACCTGACCTGATGATCTGATGATTGGTTTGGGTGTAGTGTTCGTTCTTGTGAAGTTACAGCCTGGCTGCTGTAGTACTAGTTGAATGTACATGTCTGTGGCTTGCTTGGGCTCTTTCTTTCGACGATTGATTGAAACGGAGAATTTTACTTTCCCACTTCAACCCGGTTACTGCAATGGTACTCACTAACTCTTCCCGATCTGTGGGAGTGGCTGGTGGATGTTGGTTGGTGTAACCAGCAGCATAGCAGCATACGGTTACTTTCGTAATTGTTATCATACAGACACTCTCTAGCGTTTCGCCTAATATATAATATATTAAGAGTAATCCACAGCACACAGCACACAGCACCAAAACTCTTGACGAAGGCTTAGTTTAAAGGAGGAGTGGTAGTGCTTGCAAGACTTATTGATGAGTACTGGTAAGTGATACAGTATAAATACACTTAATGGGAACTTCTCCTATAAATCCTCAAGCTTCGTGCTGTTCACGCCGTGTTCCGAGACAAAGCCTTCAAAAGGTCCAAAACCGTGAATTTCGCTGTATTTTCATTTATTTCTCGCATTTTCATACCATTAGCTCTTTTCTCAAGACGTCCTCGAGGACTTACCGTCAAAACGGCGAAAACAGCCAAACAAGCAAACAAGCCATTCATGGGTTCACTTACCCGTACAGCAAGGTCGGGAACCAGACTGCAATCCTTTTTTGACAGTTTCTCAAATGAGAAGTAGTTTCTCATTTGAGAAACTAAGTTCTGAAATGAGAAAGTTAGTTTCTCATTTGGTTGAAATGAGAAACTATCTTTTGAAATGAGAAACTATATATGAAACTGCTAGTACATGTGTTGTGATTTCTGCCAGAAATGAGAAACTATTTTATCAAATGAGAAACTAAAACTGTTAGTTTCTCAAATTGAGAAACTAAAAATGAGAAACTAAAACTAAAAATGAGAAACTAAAACTGTTTGAAAAATTTCAAAACATCATTGGGGTTTCCTGACCTTGCAGGTACTTACGGTACTTATGGTACTTGTTCACACCCGAACCCCGAACAGCGATAATCAGTATAACATCAGATATAACATCACGGCTGGAAACATACTTAAATACCGGTGCCGGTACATTGGCGCGAATAGATGAATGATCCATTTCAGATGCCTTGACTGAATGACTGAATTGTCAGAATTCTTGAATTCTTAGGAGCTTCGCGATGGATGTGAAGTTGTGAGTTGTGAGTTTACTACGGTATGTAGCCATGGCGCTGCCGAATTTGCCAGCCCTTGTCGGCCACCCTCCTTAGCTACTAGTAGTGGATGATAACCGGTATGCATACCTACGGCTTCCAGTAAACAGCGGCATTATGCTAGCTAGAGGCCAGCTAAGCTACCGGTCGAGTTGGTGGTCTTATTGGAGGCCAAGCCACTTTTCCTGACCTGAGATCTGCCTCGACCAGTGCCAGTACTCGTGTAGTGGCCAACACCTGTCGCCAAGGAATGCTGCCCCAGGCTTGGTAGGTTTTCGCTTTAGTCTGATAGACTCGACTCTTTTATCTGGCTAGCTTGGGCTAGTCTACTAGCCGTGGCTGCCTGGCTACAGTGAAGCCATTTCAACAATGACGTCATCCTCATTTTTGTTTCTTGTGACACCACAGAAGGCAGGAAGCTACCTGGTAGCTTCCGTACCGGTATGCGGGAAGGTTTGGTATGCGGTGGTCATTTGACTCGCTCTCCTCTCGAGCTGCTGGAGAGCTTGTAGATACTATATGAGCTTTCAGAGGGGTATCAATGATCATGAGTTCGACCGAGAAAAAGCCAATGGTACAAGGCGTGGCTGTCTTCCACGAGTTTCTTGCCAAAGGACGCGCTGATACGGAACTCGTGACCGGAGCCCTTGAAGATCGCGTGCACCATCTTGCCCCCCAAGCTACCTCGGTTGAAACTGCTAGCTCTACTACTGGTAGTAGAGCATCGGACGGGTTCCTGCCAGTTCGGGCCACTCTAGTTCAGTGCGACAACAGGATCGTCTTGGTCGAAGAGTGGGAATCTGCGCATGACTACGAGTTGTGGTACGAAGCACGTGAAGGATGCAACACCAACCAAGAGATACGCCATCTGCTAGCGGCTGCACCCACCACGGAATATTTTCCAGAAGCCCTCCATATCCGTCAAGATTCAGCGGCCAACCGCAGTAGCAAGAACCACGAGGAACGCACCGATAATAATATTGGGATTCTAGTCCGTCAAAAGACTGCCAGTGCGGAAAACGGTGCCAAGCTCCGCAACGCGCAAAGGGAAGCATACGAGCGTCAAATGCCTTTGGAAAACCCCGGTTGCACTTGTTGCATTATTCTGGCCAATTCCAAACAGGATCCGTCCCAAGTACGAATCATTGAATTGTGGAAATCAATGCAGGACTTTCATGTTCATGAAACCTCCGACTGGCATGCCACGGGAGAGGAAAAAGTTGTCCCGCTCGTGGTGGACATGGATTGCGATTTTGTCACGGGCAATATAATTCTATAGCTACAGCAGCCCATGCCATTAATAGTAAAAGCTAAACGTTCATTATCCATACCACATGAAATACCGGACCACCATGCAAAAGTGTGCGTCTGGCTGCATATACTTGGAAGCACAGAGCCCAAGTATAGAGTCACTCCTTTATCCAGTCATGAAGCCAGATCAGTTGTCTCTAGAGGACACCAAAGACGGTGCGACCACGTTCATGATTGCTCTTCTTTGAGGGCCGCTCAAATTGAGATTTCTGAGCCCATGGAGAAAACCTTTTGCCAGTAGTAAGAGAGGAAGACACCATGAGGGTCCCTTGCACGCACAAAAGCCTGCCATTCTTCGAGATGAGGGTAGTTCTCAAGGACACGGGACAATAGTCTTGGATTGGCCGGAAGGGCCTTTGCCCAGTTCAGAGTGTAGGTGAGGTTCTGTGAATTAAAATGTTCGAGAAAGAGCTCAAACTTGGTATGCTTGTCTTGGGAAAGAACAACCCAGTGAGTGTAGATATTGACTCGCAATACTTCACCTGGAGTATACGTATTGGTCGCATTGCCCCCCATCGGTGATTTGCCATTCTCAGGGCTCATCCAAAAGTCATCATTGGTCTTGGAAAAGTAATAGTCTACCTGCTGACCGGCTCGATCATGTCCCTCTTCCTCCATGAAGTTATGAACTAGGCAAAGAATCTCCTCGCCACTCTTCGAGTTGTCCTCCAATGGAAAATACACTTCCATGTTGTGCTGGGGATGGAAATGCATGGCCCTATGAAGAAAGGCACCCTCATAGTATCGGTAGACACCTTGCTGCCCCTCATCTGAGGACAAGCCAAAGTGGTCCATGACCTTTCCATAGCATTCCATAAGCGTTGTCTTGTCCCACCACTCTTTTTGCCAGGAAGGCCGCTGGCCTAGAGCCTTGAGTCGCTTCTGCTCCACCAAGGACCTGGCACAACCCTCAAATGCAAGCAAGTGCTCTCCTCCAAGTGTTTCAGGCAGTACACCCAGTCTCCCTTCCAAGTACCGACGAATTGTGGTTTCACCACAGAGGTCATCAATGGACTGACATGACTCTTGTGATAGCCAACGCTTTCACGAAAGAAGGCAAAACATGGATCGAGTGTGAGTGTCAGTTTCTTAAAAAAATCATTGCTGAAAGTCTTTGTAACACTGGTACTTACAAGCGCCAATGACACAATCTCAGTGATGAAATCAAAAGCTGTCGTGGAGTAGGGGTGCTTGAAGAAAATCACCGGAAAGCTGTTGTTGTGGTAGGTTTGATTGCCCAATGCAGGCTGTTCCCCACAAACGATCTCTCCTTTTCTGGTGATTTTGATGCTTTCCACAGAGTTTTCTTGAATCCCTGCTGCTTGTCATACTTGTCAATGCCACTGCGCAAGAATCCATGCCATTGTCCTCTTCGCTTCTGTTTGGGGCAAACCGATGCCACGTGTTGATCCAGGAAATTGATGCAGTAGGCATCAACTGGTGACAAGATAACTTCTAAATGATCCCAGCAAGTCCTAAGAAACTCCAAATGCTGGAACTCTTGTCAGTTGAATTCTTCCAGCTTCCCTGAGTTGGCCCATCCCATCAATGTACCGAAAGCCCATACAGAGCTACTGATGGTGTTGCTACTGCCCTCAAAAGGAGTACCAGCTGAGTCCATGTCATCAATGAAAGACCATCCATCAGATCCCGTGCTCAGGAGTCCACCCAATGTCATTCCGATGGCATCAGGGATGCTTGTCAAGGCCAGGCCATCCAGCCAAAGCTTGTGAACTAAGGAATCTTCCCATTGCACTTGCAAGGAGCCCGATAACCACTGCTGGCCACCAATGAAAATTCCAGCACCAGCCACAACCAATGGGCGTTCTTGGGGTCCAACTTCTTCCAATTTTTGATAGCCCTGAAGCTTGGGTCCAACCAAAGAGATGTACATGGTTCGATTGTTTGCTGCAAAGTGATCTCGGTCACTCCAGCCGGCACCAACAACTCTTACCACCTGTCCATCTCTTCGAGCAGTGTTGATAGTTGCCTGCAGCTCCTCCACACTGGCAACCAACTTGGATGTAGCATAGTATCGTGGGCTTGCAGCTGTGTGGTTGAAAGGGCTCAAGAGACATCTGTTCTTCAACTCATCAGCTGGGGCTACTGTTTGTTGCTCATGATGGTACCAGTCACCAAAAGAGATTGATTCCGGTGATGATGATGCCGGGCATGCCATCAGGGGATCTTCCCAATGCAGTAGCCAAGCACACTTGGGACATCCGTACATGACCCATAGTCCCAACAAGAATGATCCAATAAGCTTCAAGGAGAGGGCGAGAATCTGGCACTTGAACTTGTAGCCTGATTGCTGCCCCTGTTGGAAGTCAATTTCTTGGGCACGACCAATGCCATCATGAACAAGGAGAGCATGATGGGGACTCCAACAAGCAAGATGCGCTTCCACAAGAAATCGCTCTGCATTACTTCTGTCAACGTCATTGCACTGACGGGGAACTGCATGGTGTAGTTTCGATTGTCTTGCAACATGAGAACACATCCCACACCAGATCCAAACAGGCTGATCAAAGTGAAGCTGTACTTGTCAAGGCTTCGAATCGTCGCATCCATTTGATGGACATTGACCTTGTTGTTGCCACTGCGAAAGACATCCTTGGTCTGGATTTTGGCTAGGGTGGCACTGTCTTGCTGAAAAAGGTGACGGATGAGCCCAAATGCCGTGGGAATGAGTGCAAAAAAGATGGCTAGTGCCTTGAGTTGTTCTTGTAAATCCAAGTCTTCAATGAACTGATTCAGCACATCTGCCTTCTCTAGTCCATAGGTCAAAATCACACAAGGAAGACTCCAGCAGCCACGTCAGTGGGGTAGTGCACGCCTAGTGTGATTCTTGAGATACAAACAACAACGCAAAGAAATGATATGGTCAGAGTGATGGGGTTGACGCCGAACTCCATGAAGAGGGTGGTTGCAAAGCTGGCTGAGGTTTGAGCATGGGAACTTGGGAACGAATAGTCCAGTTCTTGCTTCTTGATAGGATTGATAATGTCTTTCTCGACCCAATAGGGCCGTGGCCTTTGCACGCACCACTTCATCAAGCCATTGGCAATCTCGTTGATGTTCAGTGCAAATGGGAGGAACATGATTCGTTCTTGAAAGGTCCAAACAAGAACTGGGGTTCCGATGAAGATTGCTTCATCTGTGACAAGATGCCGGCAGAAACTTGCGACCCGAATGTTCAGAGGTTGATTTTGCTCAGGCCGAGAGCCAGCGCCTCGCTGAAGCCACACCATCCACTCCACCTCCTTGGATAGGAGCTGGTTTCCTTTGGTTTGCTTCACTGCAACAATCTTGACGAGGGCACACAGTGCAATGTATCCAATCAATGCACCAACCAAACAGACCACAAAATGGACAAGATCAGACTCATAATTACTCCAGTAGCCTTGCATGCCAGTACCGTAAGCCACACAGGCAACTGCCACAACAAAAGTGAGGACTTCATGGTTGCTTCTCTCCAAAAGATCAGACTCGCAACGACTCAAGTATGCCTGCATACCCTTAGCCATGCAGGCAACTGCCACCACAAAAGCAAGGACTTCGTGGTTGCTTCTCTCCATTTTGCTTTCCATCACTAAACAAATTATGCTTTTTTAAGTAAAAGACGCAGGGGTGCTGTGGGTTGTGATTGGTAATACCACCAGACATTTGCTCCAAAGCAGTACACCGCACTGACTTGAACCTGGCGAATGATCGAATCGCGTAAGCAGACAGCATACGTGCGGTAGGTGAGGTAAATGTGGTGATTACGTATCATTCCAGTGAGTTCTGATTTGCTGCATCTACCTGAATACCAAAGTTGTTTGGTGAAGAGCAGCTGCAGCTGCTGCTCGTATCGGCGAACTCCACTTAGACTACTGCTCTCTCTAGCTAGACTAATCGATTGTAACTTCCCCTTTATCACTTAGGCTACTGGTACTTTGATCTTGCGAAGTTTGCCATCCAGCTTTCTCTGTTTGTTGATCTTTGAGCTTCCAATTTGAATATAATAGGGGGGGATTAGAGTAGGGAAATTATCTACGGAAGCCAGCCGGGGCCAGGCTTAAGCAAAGAACAGTCGAAATTCAGGACTAGGTTCTGTGGGATCAGGGGCAAGAAATTGAGGACCAGTACGGGGGCCAAATGGTTTGAATTCATTACTATTCCTCGTCATTTATTTTTTTTGTAGGTCTAATCAGCAATTATGCAACATATGCATTGGCAAATAAATAATGTTGCTATCCTTGGAGCCTACTCAAGTTGCTATTAAAGTACTAACTAGTATTACTAGTAGTGGATAATAATACCAATAGACAAACCAGCTGATTCTCGAGTCCAGTACTTGTCTTGTACCGGTAGCCGTACCTCTTGGACACAATCTTGTGCTTTAGCCTCGATCAATCTTGTGTGCTTGCCGTCCGGTAGAAATTCCCCTAGCCCACCGAGGAATTCCCCGACTCGACTAGCTAGCTATAGGGACTCCAGGTGGACTTGGGAAACCTAAAAGGCAACATGTACAACAGTGCCAATTCATGACTAATCTTAAATTTGTCTTGATTTCTGCTCCGCTTGGATTGGGGAATGCCTGGAATCTATCCTTTCCCTACATGTAATGCGTGGACTCACGAAAAGTGGAGCAGAGCTTTCTACTAGTGTAGCTACGCAGTATTAGGTTTTACCGGTTCACTATCACAGCGACAGCGACAGCGACAGCTCCAGGATTCAAAGTTCAGCCGTTCTGCATTCAGCCTCTAAACCAGCATGTATGTACTAGTATGTGGGTCCTCCGCAGTCGTCAGGATCCCGCCTGTTCTCTGTTGTAGGCCGTACTCGTAGAATGTCAAGGAGCAGCTGCAGCTGCAATCTGCAGCTCCCACTGCTTGGTGGTCAAAACGTCCCTCGTTGCCGAAAGCATAACATGCGGCACCAGAGCAAAAAGATCCCAAGAGCGGGCGCAGGCCCCAGCTTTCCTGTGGAGAGGTCATTGGTTGCAATCCATGGCTTGCCGGGGAAGGATGTGTCTGTGTCTGTTCCAGACCCAGAGTGAAGGTGCCACACCAGATGACACTGGTTCATGGCACCCTCTCCTGTCATTGGTCTTGCGATCTGGAGCATTGCCTTTGTTGCATTTCATGTGTAGTACTTGGGCGACTTCGTGGACAGCCCGAAGCTGCTAGCTAGAATCGGTTTGCAACGTATCCATGGGACCCTTTGCGGTCTTCATGCTGTGGCTCACAGACATTGTGTCATTTCTCCTCCTGTGTCAAACTGATTGGGAGGAAACTTGATGCATCACTGGCATGTGAAGCCCATATAAAGTCAATAAAGTGCACCACAGCAACTGTCTAGCCCCATGCTTTCGTACACAATCTATCTTTTCTTCCTGGCTTCCTGGTCAGGGATTGAGAAGCACTGAAAGTGTGTGTTTGCCTTTGTACATGTTTTCTGGTGCTTTGGTTCCCACTTGAATATGAATGATTCAATCAAATGACCAGAAAGGTCAAAGAACTACGGGTAACACACAAGTTGCTTGGCCCGTTCACTGGGCACTCACTTGCTGCTGCTAGCTATGCATAGACTTGGGGGTTTTGGTATGGTACCGGTGCTTGAAATTTCAGGAGTGACCTACCGGTACTGTGCGCTCGGCGTCTTCTTGAGACTCTGACAGCTCGACTGTCTTATGAACCACCGGAAATAGCAGGCCACACGCAAACCTCTTCTTGGCCTCTTGCCATTGAAACTCTGTGTAACAAGCACCGTACTAGTACTAGTAGTAGTGGAAGTTAGTTTTTATTGTCTTGACTCGAGAGCCATCCTCCAGCTTTGGCATAAGGTACAACGAGCAAGTCCAGTTCGACATCAACAAGATAACACGCAACGCATCAAGTTTGCTTTTCTTGCTCCATTCTTTTGTTGCAGTCGCAGTTCTCGTCATTAGCGTTGGGGTTGTTCTCGGTATCCCACTTTCCACGTTCTGCCAAACACAGCCATGGATTCCACTACTGTTCCAATGGTACTTACCGGTAGTGCCAAAGATGAGGAGGGGAAGGGAAAAAACGTCCCTGTGCAGGTGGGACCTGACTTGAATCCATCCAAGGCCCCCCTAGACAAGAAAGTGTACCGACAGATCTTGCTGCCCAACGGTCTGCGGGCTGTTTTGGTGTCCGACGTGGCGGCCATGAATCAGATTCAAAGCGAGGGAGTCATGGTGTTGGATCCCGAGGACGACGACGAGGAAGAAGAAGACGAAGATGGGGAAGACATGAAGACTCCGGAGAGTGATGACGAAGATGACGAAGACGAAGGCGGTGCGTCCTGGTTACGAGATGCTGCCGCAGCCTTGACGGTAGGCGTGGGCAGCTTCTCTGATCCACCCGACTGCCTAGGGTTGGCGCATTTTCTAGAGCACCTTCTTTTCATGGGAAGTGAAAAGTATCCCGTGGAAAATGACTACGACGTTTACATGTCCAAGCACGGAGGCAGTGACAACGCCTACACGGAGAGTGAAAACACCACCTATTACTTTTCCATTCCACAAGAATACTTGATGGGAGCCTTGGACCGATTGGCGCAGTTCTTCATTGCACCTCTTCTGCTCAAGAGTGGAGTAGATCGTGAGCTCAAGGCCATTGAATCCGAGTATCAACTGAACAAGCAGAGTGATCACGTCAGGTTGCAGCAACTATGGGGCGCCACCTGTGACAACCCCAAGCACCCATTCTCACAATTCCAATGGGGAAACATCAAATCATTAAAAGTGAGGGTTTCGTTTCGTTTTGTCTTGTCTTGTTCGCCTCTCATTGAGTTGCACCACGCATTCTAACGACTCTGCTTGTTCACGCAATACTAGGAAATCCCAGAGCGCGAGAATGTCGATCCTCTCGTCAGGTTGAGAGAGTTTTACGACGAGGTAAGCCATGAACAATGGGCAATCAAGGCTGTTGCTTGCATGGCATGGAGACAATTTAGTATTTTATGATGATGCGCTCACACACAAATATTTACGATGCAGCATTACTACGCGTCAAATATGCGCCTTGTCGTGGTTGGTGCGTACTCGTTGGACCAGTTGGAAGACATGGTGATCAAGTGTTATAAGGATGTTCCTGCTCTTCCCCGCAAGAAGCAGAACGGAGGAAAGTCACCAGCTCCCTCTTGGGAGTCGTCAAGTCACTCTCCCATTCAAAAGCTCGGAGGTCCCTTTGCCGCGTCATCATTCAGAATGTATCGGATCATTCCTGTGAAAGACAGACACAACCTCTCCATTACGTGGCAACTACCGCCGCAACTTGGTCATTGGAAGACCAAACCTTGTGATTACATCGCACATCTGCTCGGGCACGAGGCTGAAGGAAGCCTCTTGTCCTCGCTCAAAAAGAAATCATGGGTCACTACCTGTGTAGCAGGAGCTGGACATGATGGAATGGAAGTACGTGATCAAGCATGACCGGTAGCTTTGATTGCTTTTGCTGAAGGATGGAGCTAACTATTCCTCTTCTTTGTATTGTACCTGATTGTGGATTTGCTTTGGGATCACGAAAGAATGCTTCGTCGCATACGTTGTTTACTATGACATTCACACTGTCCATTGAGGGAGTCGACCACTGGCCTGCCATTATTGCAGAACTCTATACCTATATTGGAATGCTTCGCAGCTATGGAACCACGTTGCCCGAATGGATCTATTCGGAGCTTCACTCGCTACATGAGTTTGCGTATCGATACGCGGATGAACCGAGTCCCGAGGATTTAGTGGAGGGTCTTGTGGAAGATTTTGCTCCACATCTCAATCTACCGAGTGAGCGGCTTCTGGATGGAAGCCACCTCTTGTTCCATTATGATCCCCAAGAAATTCAGGTATGCCAGTCTTGCCGTAGATGCTCTTGCCACAACTTGAGACTTGCTAGCTTTCCTAACATCAACGTATGTTTATCCCAGGATCTGCTGGTTTTGTTCAATCCAGAGAATGCCAGAGTTGATTTCTTTTCTTCAACCTTTGGTAGGGCTTCTGACTTCGAAGAGACGAAAACGGACAGTGAACCCTTTGATGTTTTGGAAGCTAGTGTGAAATTTAACCGCGAAGCTGTTGGGTCTCCGAAACAGGAACCTTGGTTTGGTACTTACTATTGGGTGCAGGACATTGACCCAGAATTGGTCACAAAGTGGAAGGATTTGTCGTGTCCTCAAAAGCCACCGCAAGATTCCATGCTTAGCCTTCCTCCCAAGAACCCATACGTGCCATCTAATTTTGACATCAAGCCAACTCCACCAGATGATTGCGATCACCCTTTGCTAAACTGCTCTTTGAAGTTTTGTATTCCGGTCGGGAAACAAAAGGTATTTTCATTGCTCGTGGCCTTGTGGATCTATGCGGATACTCTGGACTCACACACTTCTTCTCTTTTTGCAGCAATGGCTGCCAGGAACTGTCACGAAGTTTAATAGTCTCAAGAATGAGATCCTGGTTTCGTATGAGGACGAAGATGAAAAATGGCATAAACTTGACTGTCAAGCTGCAGACCTATCCCGAACGTGCGGCCACGAAGGGACTCTCGACAAAAAGAAAATCAAGTTCAAGGTTGTTGCGGTGCCAAAGGATGGCGAAGGCGCAGTGCGCAAGTTCGGAGATGAGAGCGACGAGAACGTGTTAGAAGGAACTCAATTTCCAGCTATCCCTCCAGCCAAGGTAGAGTCTCATCTGCCTCAGTTGGTTCGAAGTAGCCAGGTCAGTCTGCTTCAAACTTTATGACTTTTTTTGTCGATGGTATGGTCTCTAGTTCGCCTGACTCTTGTTTTATCGGTAGAAATTGAAGCTTTGGCACATGCAGGATCGCACGTTTCTGCGACCAATAGCGGAACTTCGGGTAGCTGTATTCTCGAACCTTGTAAACGAGAGTCCTCTACATCGCGCCTGTGCCGAGCTTGTGGTTCAGCTTTGCTACGATGTGTTGACAGAGACGGTGTACATGGCAACATTGTGCGATCTCCATAGCACTATCGAGAGTTCGGAGAATGGTTTTGGTTTCAGAGTCAATGTGAGTTGAGCGAGTACGATTCTGCACTGTATTTTGCGCTACTCCTTTCCGTATTTACACCATTTGCACTATGTACCTCGAAGGGGTTTGACGACAAGTTGCTGTCTCTCTTTGAGGTTGTTTTCCGCAGATTGATGAGCTTCCGCGGTCGGACGGCCCAAGATGGCCTTCCCGATGGAATTGAAGACGCGCGCTTCAGCGTTGCAATGGAAATGCTGCAACGGAAATATCAAAACTCGGCGATGGAAGCGTTGTCGATGGCTTCTGGGGTGCGAGTTCGTTGCATTTGCCCTGGGACTTGGTCTTCGGCACAAAAGGTATGTTGCAAGTCGATTGCTCAGTGGAGATTTAGACTGATATCCTCAAATGGTCTTTGATGATATCGTCGAACGAAGTCCGCCACTGTGGCAACGCTTGAGCTTCCGACTTTTGTTGAAATTGCCTCTTCCCTGTTGGAAAACATCAGCGTTCAAAGCTTCTTCCATGGTAACGTTGACGTTGCTGGAGCCAACGCCGCCGCGGATTTGATTGAGGATATGCTGACATCGTCGGGTAGCGGTGTGCTGCCCAAGAAGAAGTATTACTACGAATTCGTAGCCAAGATCCCACCAAGCAACGAGCCTGTGATTGCCACGGTCCCCTCAAAGGATTTGGAATCAGGAAACACGGCTGTCGAATACTATTTCCAAATCGGCAAGGATGATATCAATGACCGAGTTATCATCGATATGCTGGTCCACCTGATGGAAGAACCCCTCTACAATCAGCTCCGAACCAAGGAACAGGTAGGTGCCCCAGAAGTCGTGTTGCAAACCTCAGTTTTTGGCACCACATCCTCATGTCTTGTCCTTCGAATCCCAGTATGGCTACCGTGTTTCTTGTGACTCTAGGTGGACTGTGGGAATAATGGGTTTGAAGTTTGTGGTTGTAACGGCAACCCATAGTGCAGTGAGTCGCTGTCGCTGCAAAGCGAAGGGAGGCAACAACAGTCAAGGCTGAACTTTTCTGACCTTCCCCTTTTGCTTCATTTGTTTCGCTCCGTGCTTCTTGCTTCGTCACTTGTTTCAATTGTGCACCTAGGCTGACGCAACTGATCGAATTAACAAGTTCCTTGTGGATTTCCGCCAAGATTTGGAGAAAATGACGAACGAAGAATACATGGCCAATCTTGTGTCCTTGGCCAAGGACAAACTCGACATGTTCAACTCTCTGGCTGAAGAAACATCCAGCTTTTGGGCCGAGATCCGTGACGGTCGCTTCGATTGGGAAGTTAACAGGAACGAAGCACTTGCCCTGCGTGGTCTCGAAAAGTCGACCGTATTGGATGCATTCGACAAGTGGCTCAACCCAAACACGAAGCGTCGTATGCTGGTGGTTCAAGCCATCTGTGCTCCCCAGAATGGCACTGAAAGCGAGGCTTCTCGAGGGCGTCCTAGTGTGGACCCATCCGAAGTGTCCAGTTTCGTTGATGCACGCGTAAAGGACTTTCACCAGCTTTGCAAGCAACAAACTTGGGGAAAGGTCTACGCCTAAGCAACAGCAGCAGCCTGGTCCACGCGTACTGGAATAAGTAGAAACAACCTGGAGCTGTCCGCGTGCAGTTAGGCCTTGGAACGGGCCGGTTCCCCAATATGCTATCTAGCTAGAAGCAGCAGTTTAAATAGAGGCATAGGCAGAAGCTTCATCTGTTTATCTATCTTTTTTAGTGGGCGTCGTCGAGTTTTGCTTCAGCATGCATAGAGTAGCTGGCGGTGATTGCTTTCTCTTAGTACATGCAAACACAATACTTCCACTCCATAAAGATGCATTTAGGGATGCAGCAAAAACCAGGGAACAGTACCCCGGAACCAGTGCAACAGCCTTCACAGCACCAACCGCTGCAGCAGCTCGAAGACTTCTTCGTGTTGCTACCCTTGCTATCATCTTTGGAGTTTCGGCTTCCCGCGGCCATCTTGCTACCCGCCTTTGACGCCGAGCTTACCTGATACTTTTTGCCATCGATTTCGATGACCCCTTGCTTTGCAAACGCTTTTGCGGCCACAAGATGCTGATACCTCAGAAATTGCCTCAAACGATCTTTACGTTGCTCCAAGGTCAACGTGCTTCTTGACCTTGGCGAGACAACGTTGGACGCATCCGGTGGTGCCGTTTTGTTGTCTGGGCCATTAGTAGCTTCGGCTGTGGTCTCCTCGTGCTTTGCCGTAGTAATTTCTTTTTCCTTGGGCTCCGAAGCAATCGGTGCCTGTGGGTCGTTGGGTGGTTGTGTAACATTTTGATACTGTTGCTGTTGCTGCTGCCATTGCTGCTGCTGTTGCTGCTGCAATTGCTGCTGCTGCTGCAATTGCTGTGGCTGAGGATGTTGCCCTTGCCCCAGTTGCTGCGGTGGTAATGTTTGCGCGCGACGCTGTACCGGTAGCTGCGGCGGTACCCCATACGGATACATGAGAGCCTGAGGCGGCATTCCCATTGGGGGTGGTGGCGGCCTTGGCCGCGGGTATGCATACGGATTGTACAAAGGCGGCGGGCCGTATCCGTATGGTAGAGAGGCGGCGGCCTTGATGTCAAGGCATTATACCATTGTGGCGGAGCGTACATGTTGAACGGACCGTAAAAGTGAGGATGCGGCGGGTGTTGCGGATTCTGCTGCTGCTGCTGCTGCTGCTGCTGCTGCTGCTGCGGGCCATCAATAGTACGAGGAGGTGGATGACGGTCGTTCAGAAACTCAAAAGACTCTTCTGTGGTCGTCTCTGTAGTGCTATTCGTTGCGTTGCGCTTCCTGCCAGACCGTTGCGTCGGGTCGTACTTGTCGGTGTGTTTGGACTTTTTCTTTTCCTTCTTACGCCGAAAGAATCCTCTTGAATAAGCGCTTGCAATACCGGAAGCGACGCTGGAACTCGAAGAATGCTTTCGACGTCGGTCGGGCTTGCCGCGATCTTGTTCGTGATCTTCGGACTTGTTGCGTTCTGCTTCCACGGCGTCGCGTTGGTCCTTCGGAGGGGAACTCGTGGCCCTCGCAATGTCATTATCGTTGTCTGGAGGAGGCTTCAGGTAGAGACCTCGGATCAACGAGATCAACTCTGATTCGTTCAGCTTGTTCATCTTCTCCTGGGCTACGGCGTTCTTAGGCGCTATTTTGCCGTCGCTGCTACGAATCGTAAACATGGCCATGGACTCATCGTCCTCCACCAAGCGATCAAGCTCCACCTCATCGATCTGCATCTTGGTTACTAGCTAGCTACCTGGTAGCAACTAGCTACTAGTAGCCTTCGAATAGAGATAGAGTGCCCCGGACGTCAAGGACACCTACTCTACTTACTTGTGCTCCTGCTCAGATGCATGGTCGGAGCTTATTTGCATACAGTACGGTACGATACCTCAAACGAGTGAGGGCTGTTTGGTAATTAGAAACCCGTGGCTTCGCCATTTTGCCCGTATCCTTTCGTCAGCGCACCTTGCTCTCTAGTTGTGTAGTTTGTCTTTAGGGTGGAGGGAGTCACACTTTCTCGCCAAAGCTATTGTGTTTAGCACTCTGAAGATCGATCTCTTGGTTGTTAGAGCGTTTTGCGTCAAAGGACGCGGGCATCAACTCCCGCGGACTCGCGATCGCCAAAACCGTGAGTGGGCGAGAGCATTGGTGGAAGTTTTCGCAAGAAGTGTTGATCGTCGCAATGCAAGAAGGAATGTGTATCGCTTCACTTTTGCAAATTTGGTCCTCTTTATTATAAACTTTGCCTTTTTGCAAAGCACAGGACGTTGTGTTATCATCATCTACCGTACTATCCTCTCGACGTTGCGTATTCCATTCAACATGACCAAGTTCTTGTATTTTGGATTCACGGTCTTGGCCGTTTTGGTTTCCGTAACAGACGCCCGGCTTGGCGCAGACGAGGACCGGGAATTGCAACAGGATGTGATTCAGGGTCAACATGTGATTACCAACACGTATCCTTTGAGTCTTTGCCAGGGAGATTGTGATAGTGACAGGTAAGTGCGATGTAGACGAATGAATCAGTAGATTGATGGTGGCGGGCAATCCATCACTCATGGACTGGACGGACCTATTTGTGTTCTTGTTTTGCTTTCGGAACGGCAGTGATTGTGGCGATAACTTGAAATGCTTCCATAGACATGCTGGTGATCCGCTTCCCCTTTGCAATATTGCGGAAGGTGAAGTGACCCATAGGACAGACTACTGTGTTCCCATTGGTGCTCCTGAAAGTCTATTGGGTCCCCCGCTTACCGTGGTTGGAAACAACGGCGATGGGCCATTTCCTCTTGGAAAATGCCAAGGTATGTTGGAACCTCCTTTTTGATATCTCGTGATTGCCAAGCTGGTGAAGAGACATCTCTTCTAACATCTGTCTTGCAATCTGTCTCTCTTCTCCATCCATACAGGTGACTGCGATACGAACGCTGAATGTCAAGAAGGTACGGTTTGGAAGCAGAACAATGATACCGTACTACTGCTAGCTAGTCTTTTACTAACATGATTGCATTCTCTCCTCCACATTCCTTTTCCATCAGGTTTGATTTGTTTCCAACGAAATGCCGGTCAGCCGGTTCCTGGATGTCGTGGATCGCACAACGCTCGTACCGACTTTTGCATCGATCCTGCGGATCAAGCGGCATTGGAAGCCAGCAACTTCCCCGTGTCGGCCACCAGAGATATGGCAGTCTTTTTGAACTACACCATTACCCAGAACGATCGACAGCCCACTAACGCCGAGTATCAAGCGTTGGGTGTTGAGACGGACAAGTGGTTGACGGACGAAGTGGATCGTATCTTTGCCAATAACAACAATCAGCTTCACGATATCGCTATTACGATTGGGAAAGCAGAATACCTTCCATCACAAGAAGCCACTCAGCAAATTCGCTGGAATGCCAAAATGACTTGGACCGCTACGAGCGCCAACTATATTCCTACCGCGTTTGAGATTTCGCAGCGCCGCAACAACTTTCAAGTGTTTTCGTACCAGACCGTGTACCTCCAGGCCCTCGATTCCAGCAATGTGTTCTTCAACACTGGTAGCGTTGGTTTTGGACTGTCCCCCGCAGAATTTTAATTAATAAGCACTGCAAGTCTGTAGGCATGATGCCTGCATGCCGTGCAAACCGCAAATAAGGAAAGCAAGAGCTGACGTGTCGACAAGCGGATGGAAAGAGGGCGGGGGGACCAATCCGCTCGAGACTTGCTGGCTGTTTGACAAACACATCAGTCAGTCAGTCAGTCAGTCAGTCAGTCAGTGCAGGCAAGGGCCCATGTAGCTCTTCCATATTCAATCAATCATTCATAATAAACTATAACGAATACTACATATGTTGCTTCGGGTGCTGTCTGCTACGCGTGTTCCATCCAGCAAGCCCAACCCCGGAGCACAGAGTCTCAGTCTGAACAACACTTGAACCTGTCGCTGGAGCAGGTTATGATAGATCTTTGCAATACCGTAGTCCAAAACACCTTCACACAACTCCCAGACCCCGGAGCGGCAGCCTGCAGCTCCTCCTGGCTAACCCCACCACTAGCTAGCCAGGAGCATAACGAGCGAAGAACTACATGTACATGTAAGTTTGATAAGCTGTCAGAGCTATCAAGTTGTAGTTTGAATGTTGGAATTGGAGGGAAGGAGGAAGCTTTCGTACAAACTGGTAAATCGTATGTGCAGAAGTCTTATCGTCTTACCAGTTGGTACAGCATCATTGACATTGTGACCCCTTTCCCTTCTTATTCGTACTCCTTCACCTTGAGAAGTGGGGTGTAGATTTATTGACTTCTTGACAGCCGCAATGAGAGAACACAATCGAATAGAGGAGAGGGGAAGGAAAGAAAATTGATGGGGAGAATTGATAATTACGTGTAATTTCCGTAATCGGTGAAGAGAAGCTTGTCTTAAATCTCTTGATAGTTGATGGATTCAGTCATTGTAATAGTCATTATTGCGACTGAAATGCCTCACAAGAGCCATTTCTCGCATCAATTCTTAAGTGAAGCAACCACCCAGAATCAATGCTTCTCACAGTTTGAATTTTTTAGAAACGCAAAGAGAAGACAATGGCGGCCGCTGTATGTAACTACGGGAGCACCAAGGATACACCGATAGCACCAACCACCATGGCAGACACTACCAGTATCAGCGTCAAGTCTACAGGCGACGCGACTCCCGATACAGTCCCGTTGTCTTCCGACTCAGAGCGACCAGCAGAAGCCGGCAAGAAGAGTTCGCGCTCCCGCAAATCCTCCAAGTCTTCTTCTTCTACTAGTGCTACTAGTGCTAGTGCTAGTGCTAGTGCTACTAGTGCTACTAATATTAATAGTAGCAACGGTGGCACCTTGAAGAAGCAGTCTTCCAATCGACGCTTGAACGGCCAAGGCAGCAGCAGCAGTGGCAAAGAACGACGCGAAAGCAGCAGACTCACGAAAACCCCTAACCCTAAAAAGTCGAGCCTGTCGAAGTCCACGTCGCGCCGGCACAGTCACGCAATCACCCAGCTCGGGATTAACCCATTAGCCACGAATGACGAAGACAAGGACAACAATGCCGTTGCTAATGGTAATGCTCTGCAGCAAGTGGAACAACAAGCTAGCACCACTAGCTTTTCAGAAGAAGGAAGTCTTCGCTTCAGTACTCTGCAAAACAGTCCCAGCACTGCCATCACCAGCAGTTGTACCAGCTTTAGTACTACCACCAACCAGCAATCTGCTGCCACCATTCTGGTACTCCCACGACCAGCTGATTCCTATACCACCACCACAACCAGTGAAAGTCACAGCACGGGCATGAGCTCCACTTCTGCTATGCATAGTAGCCAGCACAAACACATCTTGGTGGCAGATCCAGATGCCATGCTAGCGCAGATCTTGCAAGCCGTGGGACAATCAACACAAGAAGATCCAAATGGGAAACATCCTCTCTTGTCGGATCAACTGGCGGCAGCCATGCACAAACTGGTCCAGACAGCCACTGAGAATGGGACCATTGTGGTGCCTCCTGCTGCTACTGGTACAAACAACAACACTTCTCCAAGTAGTCAGAATAGTAGCAATAGCAACACCAACACAAACAACAGACTGGACCAACTGCAAAGGCAAATGGAGGAAATGAACAAACACCAACAAGCACTCTTGGAATTTCAGAAACAGACTCTTCAGGAACGACAAAAAATGGAACAGACACTACAGCAACAGTCACAGTTGATTCAGCAGCAAGCTGACATGCTGCAACAGCAACAGGCACAAATACAACAATTGACCCACAAAATTGAACAACCAGAACCACAGAGGAGAAATCATCCATCCTCTCCCACCAAAGAGCAGCAGCAGACTGCCAAAGAACCAGCACTGCAGTACACACCCAGTCCCACAAAAGACGAAACAATGGAAACCAGTCAAATGCTCGACCGATTGGCGGCCTTTGAAGAACTAGAAGCATCCTTTAAAGACTTGGCCATGTTGGGGCTGCCCGTAAGGGAAATTAAGGTCATTGAAGACACACCAAATGCCAAGCCAATGGCCATTACGACACGTGTCAAAGATGACGAAGACGACAGCTCGGAACCAGGACATCACGAGCCAGGTATTGTCAGCAAAAAGGATGGATTAGTAGATGTGTGGACTTGCCCCTCGTGTAATTTTGAACATGAAGTCACGGCATTGCAATTTTGTGGAGTCTGTGGAACATCCAAACCAGAAGAAAACAAATTTGAGGTTTCCTTCGCAGTGGATTCACCCTTTATCAAACCAGACGACAATGACGAGGGCAGCAAGTTTGAAGTTTCGTTCGCGGCAGATTCCCCCTTCGGCAAACCGGCAGACAAGGCTGCGGACGACAATCACAAATTCGAAACGTCATTCCAGGCAAACTCTCCCAACCAAAGTCCCAGAAAAAACAACGACAAGCCTCGAAGATCCGTGTCGCCACCACGTGCACAGGAACCATTGATTCAACTCCAATTGCACAAGGAGCTACTGAAAACAGATAAGGAGGAGATACCCAAGGATATGCCACCCAAGTCACCCATGCGACGAAGCAACAAATTTGCACGATCCAAATCAGCCACAGATGCCAACCTTGCGACCACACCCAAACGGACACGTCCACGAATTCCGCCACGGTCCAAGACACAAATGGAGGATCAGCTGGCGAAACGCATGATTGTGGGAGGATCGTATCATGGAGGTTCAGGAGGAACCGCCACAACTCCCAAAAAGACGGGTGGACGGGGGCGAGCGAATATGGAGAATCGCATGGCACAACAAGTTCTCACTGCTGCTTCCTACCATGGGCAGGAACGGCAAAAGGAAGAGGAAGAAGAAATTGTCATCAAGTGTCTCGATGGCAACGGTGGTACGGAATTGTTGGACATGGATATTCTGAATCAGCAACTGTCACAGTTGTCAACCTTTGATTCCGCTCCGGCGGCATCCGCTGGAGCAGCACCAACTGCATCGGCTCCCAAAACTCCCAAGATCAACAAGCGCCGACAGGTAATTCGACGTTCAAAATCAGCATTGGATGATCCGGGGGCATCGCTTCCCGCCGCACCCCCCGTGTCGACGGGTGGATTTGCGGGAACAACCCATCGACCATCCGTTCGAAAGGCCATTCCACGACGAGGCAGGGCCAACTCGACCGATCAGTTGCGCCTGCATCAGCTCCAATTCCAAGGCGGCGGCGAGGACGCTGCCGCCTCTGCTGACGATGAGCCTACGAACCCTGCCCCTGCGCACGACAATAACGTTGCGTCAGCACAACCAACCAACTCTTCTGACCGTCGTGGAATTTTAGGAGTTGCAGTGAGCGCATTCCACAAATCACCAAAGAAAGCAATAACGGCGTTCAAGCTCGCTGGCGGTGCCATGCCAAAGGCGCTCGTTGGAGGTGGAAAAGACAAGGGTCGTGGATTTCTTCTTGATTCTGACGATGAAAGCAACAGTCAAGACGACGACGACGACCACAGAAAGACCAACAGGTCCAGCAGTTTTCGCCAGCTATCGGATGAACCTGATCCTCCAAAAATTGACGCTGTCACAATGACGCCCGGGAGAAAGTCCATACGGTCTTCCGTGGCAAGCAAATCTGGGTGGAACAAGTGGTTCAAGGCTGCTCCTCTTGCCGACGAAGTAACAAAGGATACACAGGAGAACGAGTGCGAATTTGATATTGACGATTCTGTTCATGATATCGATGACGAGGAAGAAGTCAACATGGAATCGATCGATGAAAGCGAGTCTGATTTGGTCAGAAGGCCACGCCTCCGACGCAACAAATCTAATGAAATGACTTCGGATCGTTCCTCTGGTCATAGCAACCGCCGTGCTAGCACTCGTGCATCGGTCCGCGAAGAATTTCGGGGATCGGAACGTGGGTCCAATCAGGGTATGCGAGATGCAAGGACACGTCCTCGCAGGGCCAAGTCCATGGACAACACCGACGACCACTCCGATGCTATTCAGAACTTCCACAGCGGCGATTTTGGTGACACACAGGCCACAACCGAAAGTGCCAAAGCCGGAAAACCTCGCGAGATGAATCGTCGCCGTCGCGCTTCTGCGGTTCAGCGACGAAAAGTGGGATCGGATGGGCCAGAAAATGCAGAGGACCTCAAGAGCAGGACGGAGCAACTGAAGCAGCGTGTTCAAGGTCTCCGAAAGGGTTCCGGAGAGCTGCAAAGAACCCCGAAAGCGGAAGCCGCTGACGACATTTCAGAGTCTACCGACGGGTGCACAATCTATCTCGAGAACAGCATCGGCAACATGTCGGAAATTACTTCGCCTGCCATGTAGTAACCGGCTCAAGCTTTTTAAAAATCGTTGTAGAGTACTGAAGTAGGGAATTAGTTGTACACGAATTGTGCGAACTGCAAAGTAACTACTAGAATAGGAATGAAGTAGCTAGCTAGAATTGAAGAGAGTCACTGGCCTGGCAAGGTTGCCCACCTTCTGTGACACCAGATACCACAGCTGACCACATCATAAGATTTCTGTTGGGGTGTTTGGTAATCCAGTCATCCACTCGGTCACTGGACAGAGGAAGCACAGTGTCGCCTCCTGGGGCAACCAAAACAAATGGGTCTGGTAACAAATTTCTGTTGCCAGATGGGGTGCTGGCTGTTGCCATTGTCAAGTTGGCAATCGTGTTGCCACTATTCTGAATGCGGACTTGCAACTGGATTGATGCAAGTGGTCTCCTTGCAATAGATGGAGCGATGGCCTTGATTGTGACGGCCCCGTGTGGAGTGCCCACTAATGCATCATCTGTTAGACAGGTCCCAAGTTGTTGCCACTGGAGACGCCGAGTGCGATTGGTGTCCAGTACCAATATTTCGATGGACGGCCCCAATCCAAAGTCAGAACGGAGAGTGAAATGTTCACCCTTTCTGAGATTTTGCTCCAGCACTGGGCTGTCCTGCACTTTTATGATTACAAGTGCTTGATCAACGCCGGCCACACCATGGAAAAAGTCGGTGCATTCCTCTGCGTCACCACAGTTTTGCCCCGTATAAGTCATGCCCAGTACTGATGGGAAGGGATGAGGACATGCCAAAAGTCTGCTGCATTCTTCAGCACCATGGAGAGTTCTCCCAACACATTCAATGGTCACAATAATGTCACAAGAAGTGTGGATAACTTCGTTTGGGACAGGCATGGAGTTCCCTGAGTTCACATTGTCAGGTGCAGTTGTTTGGTCAAGGATACTGGGAACACCTGTTGGTGCCTCTGCGGGCGTACTGGATGGACCCTCTGTTTCTAAGATACTTGGAATTCGGCGCCCAAAAGTGACCTGAAGGTGACTCCCCTGACGGCAAGCTGTGTTACCCTCTGAAATGCCCGCGATATCTGTAAGGAAACCATAGTGTCGCTCATCGTCTAGTCCCACAGAAACGATTGAGTCCAACACAAGTTCATCACCTGGATGGAGGAGTCCCTTGGCATCACTGGATGCGACCAAATCCGTAAAGTTAAAAAAGAAAGGATCAAAATTGGTTGCTTGACTCAGACTGGTTATGATTGCTGAGGAGACTCCTTCATTCGCCACATGTAGCCGGAAGTTGAATTCAAACCCAAGGTTGGTTGAATGAACGGTTGAAACATATCCTTGTTCTATGCTTCTCATGGCATTGAACTGTGTTGCGCCGTAGGAGTCATCAAAGGAACTTGTGGGACAGGAGAACTCAAGAATTACTTCTTGTAGGAGAATTCCAGTGTTCGAATGATCGTTGTTCAAAGAATAAAGAGAAAAATTGAGAGTTTCTGAGATTGGCTCCAACAGTGGATTCCTGAGTGTAGATTTCCCAAAGTAATGAACCGGCCCTTCAAAATAAACAATGCTGTTGTTTCGGATGGGAGTGACAATTAGGTAAGCAAATTCATGTTGGGTTGGTCCCCCATTGAAGTCTTTGCATGAAAGTGGAAGTGATGATCTTGTAATGTTGTTGGCTGTGATGCAATCAAATCCTGTGTATATCGTTACCATTTCAATTGGATCACTTGCACAGTTTTCATCTGCTAAACGTACATCAGGGTAGAAAGTCTCACACGGTTCCCCTGAGTAGAGTTCCTCACAGGTCATGTTGATGCCAAAATAACAAAAGTCCCCTGTGGGCAATCCTGTGGGAGCTGTGGATGGGACCATAGACGGAAGAGGAGAGCTTGTTGGGGCCAAGGAAGGTTCAGAAGTTGGTACCATGGAAGGATATCCAGTTGGGGATGCAGATATCATTGGAAAGAATGCTGTACCTAACTGTCCTGACTCATTGTCATTGTTCCTTGTGAAGGTGATGATAAGCACAACTCCAACAACCAAAATAGCAAGAAGTACTGCCAAGATAGCCAAGCCCCTCCAGAACCTGGACTTCTTCAATGGGGCTGCAATGACAACTTCAGGTAGTACTTCCAGATTTCTCCCATGCTCATCCACCGTGTAGGCTGTCACTGGGTCGTAGCCTTCAATTGGATCAGTAGCGTTAGGTTTGGGAGTTTTTGGCTGAGCCACTTCAATGACTGTGTTCCCATCTTCTTGTGTGCCTTGCTGATCTGCTTCTTGCTGTACTTCTGCCCGTGTCTCAACCATACCGGTAGGATATTCCAATGTTTCTGTTGGGCTGTTGTTGCTGCTGTCAGGGGTAACTGACTGAGCTCCAACATGGCTCCCTTTGGGACCTCTACGTAGCCCACCTTTCACTAGGGGGACCATCGTGCCAACATTAGCATGGTTTATTGTAGCACTAGTAGCATTCACTTGCCTCCTCAGTCCCTTGACTTGCTTCTCCATTGATGGGGTTGCTGTCGGGTTGTTCATCGTACCAGTAGGATGTTCCAAAATTTCCGTTCGGCTGTTGTTGTGACTGTCAGGGGTAACGAAGTGAGCTCCAACAGTAGTCCCTTGGTGACCTCGACGTAGCCCGCCTTTCATGAGTGGGGCCATCGTGGCAACATTGACATGGTTTCTCGTGGTACTTGTAGCTTTCGCTTGTCTCCTCAGTCCCCTGACTTGCTTCTCCGTTGCTTGGCTTCCTGTGGGGTTGTTCATGTTTCCTCTGGTGTAGATAATGCGGGCTAGCTTTTGAGGGTTCTAGCTACAGTAGTTGCGAGCTACCAGTACTAGTATATTCGTATGATAGTTTTCTTACTATATACTTTCTCAACTGCTTGCTTGTTCATATTTCAATTGTTTTCAGTTAGACAAAAGATTCGCCGCCTCCGGGATTGGAAGCAGGCTGACTTTATGAGGCTCTATTAGTAGCTCGCTGGGGGTACGGGTACTTTGAAAGGGCCGGAAATCACGATTTTATGAATCCAACCAAATTGATTAATTCAAATCCTTAGTATAAAATGTTATAAAATTAAAACCAAATATAGAACCCAAACACAAGTACTCTGTAAGTTAAGAACTAAAATCAAGCTGCAACCAAAATATAAGACCGAAACCAGAATATATAATTTAAACGCAAATACAAAATTGAAACACAAGTATTAATCCGATTTTGGTGTAAATCGCGATTTCAGGCCGTTTCTTACCCACGCTCTGCTTTCATTTGTTTGTTGAGGCTGCGCTGCCCATTTTAGTGTCTGGGTGGCTGGCTTGGGCTTCTGCCAGGATGGATCTGTAAGCACTTCGAGATCCATAGCTATTACATGGTACCTCCTACGTCCCACTCGCTTCTATCCAGCTAGCAGGTGGTAGCTGGTATTAATAGTTCATGGAAGCCAGCGGTTGTCCTGAAACTAGCTAGTTGCAAAGCAAGCTAGCTGGGGGGCGCTTCTGGTGTGAGTCTGTCTGGTTTCGTTGTTGCTTGTTTCCTAAACAAGAGCATCGTGACCAGGATCTTTTCCTCCTTCTACAAGCATACCGACAAGACCCAGCAGACTACCCGCTTGGTGCTCCTCCCGCTTGTTACCAGCGCTTATTGGTGCAATCGGACGTTCCGGAAAAGGTTTTTGGAAGGTCCAGTCATGGTTGCCAAGTCGTGTTCTTGCGACCAGTGCAATTGGAGATTAATGTCTAAAGTTTCTCTCATATTCACTCAAACTACCCACTTTATTTGAATATTGTTTCTAAATTAATCTCAACAAATCCAACTTTAGCTAGCGAACAACAACTTTCACGTCTGGAGGGCGAGACATACCACGTTTCAAGCAAGAATGATATCACTACCTCTACCACCCACGACTTGGGTTGCCTTCGTCGGACCAATGATCCCCACAAACACCACGAAAGCAACACACTCTACCAAAGCAAAAACACTTGCAAAGTAAAGAAACAAAGAAGAATGATCGCAGTGCAAAAATCTACGCCGTTCTCCCGCACCCGGCGCAGCCTCTTTGGGAAATCCCCTCGTTTTGCCGATCAATACGAACTCGGCGACCTGATCAAACAAGGTGGCTCGGGTAGCGTGTACCGAGCAATCAAAAAGAACAGCACTGAAAAGTACGCCGTCAAGGTGATTGATCGCACCAAGCTCAGCAAACAAGCAGAAAAGGAAATCCTCCGAGAGGTTGATATCATGCGAGAACTGGACGGCCTGGAGCACACCACCAAGGTGGTCGACTTTTTCGTTTCTCGCAAGCACTACCGCATTGTTCAGCAACTCGCAAAAGGAGGAGACGTTCAAGATTGGGTGATACAAAACGGAGCATACCAAGAGAACGAGGCTCGCGTTGTTGCCATCAAGCTCCTGAAAACTATGCAACAATACCACGACCTGGGCATAGCTCACCGCGACATCAAACTGCCCAATATTCTGCTGGAGCGTGCGGACGACAACGCCTCCGTCGTCATTGCTGATTGGGGATTCGCCAATCGCATTCGGCCTGGACAACCATTGACCAAAGCCTGTGGCACTCCTTCCACCATTGCCCCTGAAGTTCTGGCTGACAATCCCTCGTACAATCAATCCGTGGATTTGTGGGGTGTTGGGTGCATCATCTATTCACTCTTGTCGGGGCATCCTCCCTACAAGCTACGCAACGGCGACTACCACGCACTCTTTTCACAAATCCAACAACAGGGGGGATACAAGAGCATGGAATGCAAACGATGGGCCAATGTAAGCCTGGAAGCCAAGGACTTTGTACGGGGATTGCTGCAGGTGGATCCAGAGCAGAGATGGACCGCAGGGGAAGCCCTTCAAACGGCATGGATCGCGGGGCAAAAGGACTGGAGGCGACAAAACACATCATCATCACTCAGAGGCAACCAGCCACAGACAGCAGCAGCAGAATAAAACTTAGTGGCCATAACTCAATCTGAGTCCGCGTGCTGGTTGCTCAGCTGGGCTTCGTGTTGGGGCCGCGAGCCCTGCCCCTTCTTCGCCGCAACCATCTTCTCACCAGGCAGCCGCTGGGTCTCCTCCGCCCCCAAGCTATCTCCAGGCTATCTCCAGGCTATCTCCAGCGAGGCCACAACACAGAGCGTTTCTCGGTTCTTGGTACCGGTACGGCCTGCTTCTCCAAGCACCCCTCCTGTTCTCTGGTTTGTAAAATCCACCGGTCTCTTCAAACTCCGAGCACCCCCAATAACTCCTCTCTGTTTTAAAAATCCACCGGTCACCACACACTTCTATCTTCTCCGCTCCCTTGTTTAGTCGAGAGTCGAGAGATTAGACTGCTTTAGGAAGGTTTACGCAGCGCTACCGAACTACAGTGGTTGTTTGAAGCGGAATCCTCGCAAGAGTTAACCCCCGTTTCAAATGTTAAACACGTTCACGCCAACGTGGTTTCCCCGTTTCCCCGCGGAAGCCTGATATTCTCATTTATGACATATTTGTTTCTCATCCACAGCAGGTATGGTATTGCCTGTGCGACTGTACCGGCACTGTATGGTACCTTGTGCTGCTAGACTAACTAGACTAGCTAGATCTAACTAACCCGGCCTTGGAAACTTTTTCAAAATTCGCTGGTGGCCTCCGCCTTGGATCTCTCTCTTATCACTTTCTCACAATTTCTCAAGTTGGCCAACTCGAAAACGAAACATCTGCCTGTCCAAAAACTATTTATAATAGCACCAAAATGCCGCAAAACCGCCGTCGTTCATCGGGTTCCTTGCCGGTGTAAGTCATTTCAGCAAGTAAGGGCAGCCAGTAACAAATGCTTTATCAATTGCTAATCGCCTTCCTTCTCGTCTATCCCCGCTATGGTACCGGTTGTGCTGCCTGACAATAACTGATGGATGTTAGTGACTTGCTTCCCACGAAAGGTTTCTTGGAAAGGACCTTTGCGTCAAGCAAACAGAGTGCTACAACTTCTCAGTGGGTACAGGATCCAAAGGAGGCCAGCATCTTTTGCTGCGACATGGTGGGCTCTGAATTCATCCTGCAAAAGCTCAAGGATGTACAATGCAACCCAACAGTTCTCAGGTTGGAAATTGAAGACTTGTTGACTGGTGGGGACCGTCATCAATGCCTCATGCCCATTGTCAGAGCCTTGGTCCTGTTGGACAATCGTGAGTGGGAGTATATTCGGTATGTTGATGGCTTCCCCTTGGAGGGATTCTTTGACTGGCAAGAGAAGAAGCGCTGTGACGAGCGGGAGTACGAGAATGCAGGAGACAACCTCTCCCTGACAGCCCGCGAAGTCTTGTCCTGGAGGGCCACTATTGAAGTCCGTGCTGGAACTCATGTCCAAGACATCATTGGTGTCTTCAAGTGCATCAAGGCTGACCAAGCTGTCACTCATGTGAGCTTTTATGGATCCTTTGGTCTCAAGGGAACTGCTGAAGACCTGGTAAACCTCATTGACTGGAGCAGTCCCAGTGGTGGGTTGTTGACCAACCCCATCTTTGTGACTCTCCACTGTGGCTGGTCTACAAACCACCAGGAGTCCAAGCCACCTCATGTAGCACTCATGACTTCGTGCATCTATTTGTTGGAGCACCCCTGCACAGTTGTTGATCAATTGCCAAATGATCAAAAGCCAGTCCGATCCGCAAGAGGACTCTTCTCCGGAAGTGTCTCTTCAAGAAGCCTCTCCAGTCAGCAGTCCAGATCCAAGAGTGTTCGTGTCCCACGAAAGCGGCGAATATTCTCGAGGGCTGATGATAACGACGAAAACAGTCAAGGCCGTGGGCATCAGCATTCCAGCCAAAGCCCTGCATTTCACAAGAGCAACACAGCAGTTGAACTAGGATCTATGTCAAGAAGAGCTGCTCGAGCTGCCCTGGTTGCCCAAAGTGCTGCAAGCATTGTTGATGCCTGGATAGATCACGTCAAGCCTGGCATGATACCCACCAAGGTAGCTGCTCGGCCTACACGGATCAAGAAGCTGGATGATGTGGAGAATGAAGCTTCATCGGCAAGCTTCCCCACATCGATCGAAAGGAGGCCTCGCATGAGATACGCAAGGCGCATGCAAATGCAGCAAACTCCAAGTACCAGTCAAAATGATCCCTTCAGACACATTGATGATGATGATGACAACGACGACCAAAAGATCCCTGCTAGTGACACTTATGTGCCCAGTGGAAGCATTTCCACCCCAAAGCAGACTGGGAGAAGCAAGTCAGATGGCCCTAGCGGTCTACGAGAGTTGCGGGTAGCCACCAAAAGCCACAGCATGAGAAACCTGCAGTCGCCATCCTTGGGAGGTGCAAAAGATGATTCGATTCAAAAGAGCCCCAAAAGTGTGGCCTCTTGCGGGAGTACTTCCACGAGGAAGGCTACCAAGCCGAGGAGAAAGTCAGATGGAGCCCTGAACATTGCGTGGCAGGTTGACAAGATGACAACGGCTGCTACAGAGCCCTGCGGATGGTACGAAGTGGCAGCATTCGACGTATGCTCTGATGTGCACACAGCTGAGCTCCCTTCGGAGACTCGGTTCTGGTACGATTTGGTGGCCTATGCCGAGAGCTCTGCTTCCTCCGGTTTGGACCTTTGCGACGATGATAGCTCATCGGTAAGCAGCACCAGCAGTGTCAGCACCATTACAGCGGCTTCTTTTGGTGTGACCACTTTGAACTCGTCCAAGAAGGAGAGTATCCAAACTGCAACCACCGCCGGCACGAGCATATCAGTGCGGGATCTGGATGTGAACGGTCTCGTGGGAAAGGGTCGCAGAATTCATAGCTTGAACGACCTGATGGCACTGCGTGAAGCTTTGGACGCTGTCATTTCCGAATCCAGGTACTTGGAAAAAGGAGGTCCTGATTACGACTGGGCAAGTGGTTCCTATTTGAGTCTGGATGGGGGTGGTTGTCAGGAGACGAGTGGCAGCAAGAGTAGTGGATCCGTTTCCAGAGCCGCGTAGGCAGCTTAGCCAGCTTGGAGGTAAAGCTGGCTCGAAAGTTTGCCTGAGCACCAATGAAAGCGAAGCAACCCTTTTTGGAACATGTACATGGATATCCAAAGAAGAACAGAGACCCGAGGTTACATGGGAAGCAAATAAAGAGCAGAGTACTATAGACATACACCATCCAGCATTATTAGACCAAAACACAAACTATACGCGGTGGTAGGTTGTAGCTATGCATAGTGGCAAAGAGACGATTGCAGCGCAGGCATGCAGGCCAAGTAAAGGACCAGTAGTCAAGAACCAGTCCGTTAGTGGCTGTAGCTCATCCGAGCAATAGTCTAGGCCGATGAAGCCGCTGGAAGTAGCATTTGATTGAGGTTCTTTTATTGTGTGGTAACAGCATCCACCAAACACTGTCTAGTCCTCCAACCTGAATAGCTGTGCCAGGGGATGCAGGCATTCGGAAGCAAACGCCAACTGGCTACTACAAGATCTAGACTGAGCAAGCCCACCTGAATGCATCCACATGATTGCACCAAAAGTAGGCGCGGTAAACTTTGGCAAGACTATGAAACCCCACGTGCGACTACATAGGACAGGCTCCTGAGTTCTAAGAACAAGATCATCAACTTGAGGTAGTCTATCATGTGAAAGGTTTCTGGGTTGTTACATGCTTGTTATGTGCTTGGTTGACTTTCGCAGCAAGCTATCTAGTAGTCTAGCTAACCAGCTAGCCAGGTACCTGGTAGTTGATCTTGCCAAAGCAAACCTGCAAACAAGTTTCGCTGTCATCACTGGGATCCCTGTGGCATGACTGGATTAGCACTCGGTACTGAACGGAAGTACCACCACCTGCTTGAACGTACGACCGTTTCCTGTTGCATTGGCTCACAATTTGTTTCTTGAGAGACAAACATCATGAACAGCACTACAACCACTACGAACGTTTTGGCGTCCAAGGATGTGAGCGTGGACTTTGTGTCGGCTCAACTGAACATGGTCAAATTCAATGGGAGTGTCACTCGCTTGGAGGTAGAAGGCCTGGTCCACAGCGGAAAAGCTCACCATGGTAACGTTTTGCCCCTGATCCACGACATCTTGCTAAGCAACGACACTACCAGTAGAAAACTCCACCGGACCAGGCGAGAGTGGGAATCGGTAGAGTTTGTGGATCATTTGGAGCTGCAGGAATTGGAGCAGTGGCAGCAAGCCAAAAACCAAATGATGAGACACTACGAGAGCACGGCAAGTTTCTGTCCCTTTGAGTGGTGCCACGGCAAGTTGACCTGGAAAGCCACCGTGCAAATCCCGGCCGATAGTGAGGCAAGTCTTGTGCATCAGGCTCTCAAACACATTCAAAATGATGCTGATATCTTTAGCATCCAAATTGCCAGTGCTCCTATTCAGACGGATCATTCGCCCGTGCTCATGGAACTTCGCTCCGGTTGGGCGTCCAGAGACGCTCAGAGTACCCAAGTGCTAAGAGAGGCATTGAATATCTTTCAGGACAACCAACTTCATGGCAATAGTATTCATGGAAGCACTCATAGCCGCAAGGTGGGACAGAAGCAACGATTGTCGCAACGATCGGAGCAAGATATGGAGAATTCCTTCTCATCAACCTTTAGCGCCAACAGCAAGAGCAGCAGACGAGGAATTCGCCGACAACGCAAACGAAACAAACGAGTTCATGGAGCACCTGATTACAATTGGAAAGCAGGCGCCTTCTGCGGTGGCACCAATGCAGCAGCACCACCAACGCAACGAGCTAGCGAATAGTAGATTACGATTAAAGATACAAGGATGTGAAAGTAGCAACAACGAAGTACTAGTAGACAGGATATGGTACCATGTTACAGGACTACCAAATAGGAACACCACTATAGTCAAATCTGAGCTATTGGAACCACAAGACTGCTGACAACGCCGTCCCCGGAGGTACGGTACTCTCTCATGACAACGAAAGCCGAGTTGTGTCTGTCGTGCTGCAGCTTCTTTTGTTCTTTGTGAACGAGGACGAAGGCATGCCAAGGGCCTTTCGTAAACGGCCCCAAACCCTACGCTTGGATCGTTTCGTGTGTTGCTGTTGTCCTCTTTCTTTTGCATAACACGTGGAACCATCCGTGGAGCTCTCAACCAGAGCGGCGGGTTGTTGGTCCTGTTCCTTGGTGCCGTCCGCTTTGCTGCTGCTCTTGTCGTTGTCATCTTCACCGCCAATCCATCCCAAGTCTCGTAGCAACCAGGTATCATTCCATAGCTTTTGTACATGAGTAATCTTTCCGTCACGATTGGGATCTGTCTTGATGATGTAGCAGTAATTGGCATTGGATGATTTGCAAGTGGGTGTTTGGGGTCCCAACCCCGGCACTGCCACTGTGTGAGTGACATGATAGGTGCAATGAAAGAATGCCGTGTGTGTGGTCCCATCCCAGAAAACATCATGAGTGGTCCATGTGGCATTGGGACACGCTTTGCCAAACAAGGCAATAAAGTCTGCGTACTCCTGCACCGTTTTCATGGAGCCTAACGTGTCATTGTGACAGGAAAAGGTGGCGTCGGGAACGCACTGATCCTTGCAGGCTTGCCAGCCCTTGCCACTGTCGCATGCCGTCATGCAGATTTGGCAATTGTCAAATCCCTTGGGAGGATCCGAAACCAACAAAGCCTCCACAATCTCTTGGACTGCTGCTGAAGTCGTACCAGTTTCTACCACTACTTGCATACTGGGTGGTTCCTGATCTTGTTCTTGAGCTTGCACTTGACGGAATAGTTCTTCTTGTGTTTCCGTACTGGTGGCTGTAGTCCTTACACTGGTGTTACTAGTAGCAGATGATACCACATTGTTTCCAGATGCGGGAGGAACCGCACGGCGATCTCCCCGTGCTTGATGAACTACTGCGTATGCTCCTGGTTGACTGCTGGTACTGGCACCAAGGCTAGCATTGGTCACGCCACCCTGGCTAGTAGTGCTAGCAATACTATCAGTATGCATAATACTATCAGTAGCTTTGTCTTGGTAGTGCTCGGCAATGGCTTTTGCCTCGCTGTCCGGCTCTTGGTTCGACTTGGCGTGGGAGTCAATAGCAGCAACCCTAATCTTATTCTGAAGGTGAATTCCTGGACCCAATAAGCCAGCGGTTCTGTTTGAACAACTCTCCTTGTCTTCTTCTTCCTTTTCGCTGGTATGCATATGCATAGTCGTAACAGCGGTAGCATTGGTAACGGTAGCATCAGCCTCTTCGTCTTTGCTGTTGACAGCACTGATACTAGGAATAAGCGCTAGAGACTCAGCATCATCGATACTACTAGTAGTAGCAGCAGCCGTACAGTTTGTACTAGCGACAGCGGGACCCACCGAGGGCTCAGCGGAAGGAGAAAGCTCTTCTGATTCTCCCATCTTGCAGAGACCAGTAAGAACTCTTAGTTAGTCTACTGGTACTAGTGCGGTATGATAGCAACAGACTGATGGATGGATGGAGTTAGACTTGACTTGACTTCAGTCGAGTTGTGGCGAGCTATTTGTGGCTAGCTACTGGTAGTGTTGTTGTTGTTGCGAATCTTATTTTATGGTGGCTTCGCAAAAGAAAAGTGAGTCGCTCCGTCACCCTTGCTCGGTTGCCTTGTTGAACAGCTGCTGTTGAATGTTGAATCTTGTTCAGATGCCCCTACTGACATTGAGGGGAACAAAACGAGAACATGCGAATGCAATTGTTAACAGCTACCTGGTATTTCTGACTACGACCAATTACAGTCATCGAGTACATCGGCTTCTATTGGATCTATGCCACTTCACACACTTTGTTAAATCTTTCCTACCCCACCATTTGAAGCAAAGATAATGGGACTCTATGGTCCAGAGACGATGACAGAAAGTATTATTCTGTTGTTCTAGTGTACTAGCTTGTCGTCCAGCAAAGGAAAGCTGAATCGCTGGTGAGACTGGAGTAGCGGTGTACCATACTACTATTATTGTGACCTGACCTCTTGTCGTGTCCAGAACCAAGTCAATCACACTTTCTGCCCGAAAACTCTCAAACTCACTTCGCACTTTGCACCGCAATAATGCTGAACGCTGAACTACTTACAGTATGCATATGCATACCGACGCATTGAAAGGTATGGGTAATGAGAAATTCAAAGTTGACCTAGCCATTATTTCTTTCTGTTATCTGTTTGAGATGAGTGTTAAACCTATAGTTGCCATTTGAAAGTAGAGCATTAACACCAAACCCGGTCCATATACCCACAAGTGAACGTTTTGGGGAGCTTAATGGAAATATTTAACGAAATGACCAATTTAAGTGACATGACTGAAAGAATGGGTATACGTGACTGAACTGGTGCAGGTTTCAAAATCAAAAATCGCTCCAAAACACCGTGTTGACAATTGGGGAGTGCTTGTTCTCCACAGGAAAGTGACAAAAATGCCAAACAAATGTTACAGCCCCATGCAGAACAACAAGGGGAATGAGGCGGTAGCATTTGTTTTTATGTTTTTACATCTTCTGGTCAATTTATTCCACTCCCCAATTACAATACCACACTCTTTCAATTCGTCTAGCTAGCTAGCTAGTATCTAGCTAGCTAGTACTAGTAGACTACTCGAGTACATCGTAGCAGCAATCTGACTGTCTGGCTAATACGACTTGTACCGGTACCACATGCCACATACACGCAGCAGCGCAGCAGGCTACACACATGTTGATGCTTATTTTGGCCAGTGGAACTCCCATTTCATTTGAGCCTCATTAATTTTAGGCAATCAACAACCAGGTCTCTGAGCTGCGTTGCTCGGCATTCGGCGTTGTAGAATAGTCTACATACATGCACTTTGAGTAGAGGATAGAGGTTCTCCTGCTGCCTTGGAGCCTGAGAGTCGTGTACCACTGGTACAGCTGTAGCAGTTGCTAGCTAGGGCAGCCAGGCAGCCAGGCAGTACACTGTATCTGACCTTGTCTGTGCTGCAAGAGGATGGAAGGGCCAATCCTCATTCCAACTAGCTAGCTAGCCAGACCACGAAAGGTGGTACAGTCCTAGCTTATCATCTCTTCTTCTTCTAAGGCGTTATTGAGAACAGCTTTGAGAGCACCCCTTCACTCAAGTAGACTCTATTTTTTTTAAATAATAGTGAGCGGTATCGTTGCTTGCCTTCTTCCGTCCGAGTTGTAGATCACTGAATAAGACGGTACAGCGGTTGAGGTTGGCTTTTGGATTGGTGTCGGCCTGACGCCAGGCTGCCATCGGACAAACCGAGAAGAACCAGCCAAAGCGCGAAAAACCGGCCAAAATGCTCCTGGCTTGAGGCCCGCTTTTGCGGTTGAATGATCAGCTGTTGAAACTGGCATGGGATTAGTGATTGGTGTCGGGCTTATGCCTTCCATCGGGCAAACCGTTGCCAAGAACAGCCAAAGAACCGGCCAAATGCTCTTGGGGTGTGGCCAGTGGCCAGCTACATGTGCTACGGAACGGTTTAATCAGCCAGTTGACGAGGATACACTTACCGGTGTGGCTTTGCTTTGGGGCCTGTGTTGTCGGGTTTGTGAAGCCAGCTTTCTACAGTACGAGTGACTCAGTCGAGCCCGTAAGATACCTGGTCCTCGGCGAAATGGAAACCACAGGAAGAACTCTAAAGGACCATTCGCCCGCTGGGTTCCCCCGTGTTTTAGTTGAGGCCCGACCGTGGCTTGTGGCAACAAAGTTTCGATGTGATCTCCTGCAAATGGTTACCGGTATGCCAATACTCAATACTCTGCCACTTGGTAGAATGCAAGTGGTCAAACGGCTGAGGTGAAGCCTCTCAGTGGTCCTATGTAGTCAAACACTTCTAGTGTCGGGGTTGCAATAGCCCCAGCAAAACTGTGTTGAAATCTTCTACAGCGAACTTTTACATTCATCTTCAGAATGGTTGAAGCCTTTCGGTTGCTGTGACGCCGGCAAGAAAGTCCAGCATTGTCTACGAGTTGTTAGCAGCGCGTCAACGAGTTGCAGCGCGGGAAATTAAAAAGCTGCTGTGCCATCATGTCCATGAAGCCTGCCTGGAACCTACTACCGGTACCGTACCGTATCTTTCATCCCTTCACTCCTTGCACTACTACATGTAGTACAGCCAAACGACGAAACAACCTCTACACGGTAGCTCATTAGCTAGGAAAACATGGGTGTGTGGAAACGATGTACAGCGTAGTTAGAAAATACTTTTCGGAACACTTGGCAGGCGGGCTTGGCTTTCAAGTTCACAGAAGAGGCAGCCTTCTGTTCCTTGGAGATAGTCCCTGTCCCAGTATTATTCAGTTGCTTTGACGCTGGGAAGAAAGTCAAGGACCTCTGACAGAACCTTCTGTTCCGTGGCCACTGTTGCAGTCCCGACTATGCCGAATACCGAAGCTATACCGACCACTTTGAAAGAAGGCTACAGCGTATTCGGATAAGGCTTGTCCGCCGGTGTTCGTACTCCTCGGCGACAATAACTAGAAGCCTTCCCAACCCCAGGCAGCCCACCTTCTAAAACAGAAGCTGCTTCTTACAATCTATCTTACAACAAAGTTGTTGAACTGCTCACAATTTCGAAGCAGCACACCACCACCACCACAATGAGTTTTTTACCAACAATCACACCGTCCCTAACCTCCTCTCTGTAAGTTCTGAGATTGTATCCTTACATGCCCAGAGATGCTGTATGCACATGTATGCATTGCTTGTGGCAAAAACTTATCACTTTGCTCTTCATTGTTTGCTGGTTAGGATTGAGAGAAAGAACCAATTGAAGGGGTTCATGGAGACTTCTGCATCTTTGCCCTCTCTGTAGGTCCCATCAATGTATTCTTTGCAATTGTGTGCTGCACTTTTTCTAATCTTCTCTCTTACTAAAACGTGATTTTCTTGCAGGAGTGATATGAATCCCTTGCGGGGGCTCATGGCTTTTGAGAAAGGATCCCTTGGAGCTTACCAAGACCCAAAAGAGGCCAACATCTTTTGCTCAGATATGGTTGGATGCCCATTCATCTTGCGAAAGCTCAAGGAGGTGCGAGATAATCTGAAGATATGCCGGTTGGAAATTGAAGACCTTCTTGAGGCAGGAACACACCACCATGTCCTGCTCCCGGTGATCAAGTCCCTTGTCCTCTTAGACTGTAGAGAGTGGGATCATGTCCATTTTATAGACAGCTTTCCTTTGGACCATTACCAAAGCTGGAAAGAGGGGAAGGACAATTTGATGCAAGACTATGAAGCAACAGCAATAGATTCTGGCCTCCGCGTTGACCGGTGTTGCATCCTTTGGAAAGCAACCATTGAAATCCGTAGTGAAACAGGTGTGGAAGATATCCTAGAGCTCTTCAAGGCCCTCAAGAATGATACGAGCGTCATTCACACGAGCTTTCGAGGTGATGCCTTTGGTGTCAAGGGTACCCCAGAAGCACTTGCTGTAAGTGCGCCTTAAAGTTGACAATCCTTCTACCATGCATATGCCTGACATGGTTACATCTTTTTGGTTTCTGCAACACAACAGAGTCTCATCGAATGGAGAGATGGTGATTACGGTTCCATCAGCAAGACAGCGTTTGTGGACGTCCAATGTGGTTGGAGTGACGATGGACATGTGCAAAACGTGCTCTTTCTGAACACATGCATGTACGTGCTGAAGCATCCGCAGAGAGACACTGGTGCACCGGCTGCTCGTGGCATCAAACCATCCAGGAGCATCAGGGTTCCGAGGAGACAGCGAATAAATAGTCTGGTCTTGCCAGAACCACCAAGCCGGCCCGCGCTAAGAAGGCATCAAAGCGCCTGTTTTGGCAGAGTTGGCCAGGACGAGGAAACTTGCAAGGCCGCAGACTTGATGACAAGGAAAACTCTCACGAGGACCAAGAGTGCTTCAAGCGCGGGACAGCCTGGCAAACGAGCCGTTTCAAATGGTCTGGTTGACCTCCAAAATGCTTCTGGTATCGCCCGAAAGACACCAACGAGAGCCAAGAGTGCTTCGACTTCACGGCGAAAGGCACAAACAACCCCCAGGTCCAAGAGCGAAATTATTCCTCGGCGCAAGTCAGACACAAGGCTCCTAGTCGAAAAGAAAACGAAGGAAGATGTAGCTCCAAGGAGCAAGTCTGATGCTCGTCTTTACGGAATGAGGCGAACGGATTCAACCAAGCGCACGGAGCATTCTTTGAAGAATGCAACATTTGACGCTAGTGGAAGCAGCAGCAGGAGGCCACCCTCGAGATCTAAAAGTCATTCCATTGAAAGGGAACGAGGGCAAGCCAAGATGCTGCGCACGAAAACAGTGGAGGGCAGTGGAAGCAACATTTCAGTGCTCTTCGCTGCCAAGAAACGCCTGGAAGATACCCCTGACTACGACTGGGAGCTTGGTGCGTTTTTGAATCGCCAAGCGTCCAAAGCAGCCTAGATTGGGAACTAGCTATGAAGCGAGAGATAGCCTTGCTTGCTCTATCGTGTTGCAGTGGAAGGAAAACCAAGAACACAAACCTAAAATAGATTAATAGATACCTGTTTTACGCTCTTTGCGTGCATTGGCCTGAAATTCAATCAGAGCTTTCGCAGCCTTCAAGACCAGCTTAGTGCTGTTGCTCTCGTCTTCTGTTGGTCCTCTGCAAGTTCGCGCAGTTTCTCATCTCGGGCTTGCGAATGCGCGCTGCCTCGGCTCTCTTCGTCTACCGTGGCGACATGGCTGTAATTGACTCAATCGTGGCTTTCAAAATAGAGGTAAAGTGCTTGGTGTTCATTCGTCTGGTACGGCAGAAAGCAAAGTGCAGTTCGTAGTAGGCTAGCCAGTTTCCCAGAATAGCTGCTACCTTCCCGTACTAGAAAATGCCCATCCACAGCTTCAGTTGCTACTTTGTTTTGGCAACTGAGCTTTGAGCCTCTTTTCTAGAGGCAGATAGCCAAAAGAACGAGGGTAGGAACCTTCGGTAAGGAGAATCGTTCAACTGACTGAAATTCAAACGTCAATTGCAAGCTTCTAGTGTGGGGCCTCCTGCACCACCGCTCACCGCAGAAGACGCGTTCCCAAAAACTTTCCTAACTAGCTGGATGTGGCAAGGTGGACAGTCGCTGCAACAATGCAAAAACTAGCTAGGGAGTGCTTGCTGTACGTTCATCTCGAGTGCCGGTTCCTGCGCCGTGGATCATTCCATGACCAAATCTCCATATCTCCATCCGATCAAAGATTTTGACTGGTGAAAGAATGCGTGTGAGAAGAATCCCCCCAAGTGACCGAAGTTCAAGGGCTCTATAAACATAATGTTTACGGGTTCTTCACTGGCTCTATTCACTTCTCTTTATCACTGACTGGGATGACAAAGAAATAAGAAGAGTTTACTTTGTTCGCACCCTGAAGTCATCATGTCTGCGCAACGAACTCTATCTATGACATCATCTGACAACTCGATCTAAAGTCACACCATAAACCACTGATGCGGCGCAAAGAGGAAACGCAAACTGGTGTCCTCCAGTGAGAAAGATGACCACCATGGATTCTTCACCAGCGAGATGATGCTTGCAGGCACTCGAAAGCTCTCTCCAGAATCTCATAAACTGCGGCTAGGGCCAACTCAAAGCAGCTAAACAACGAAAAGCAACACATCAGACCTCCTGAAGTCACCAATCAAGCTGAAGTCGCCTTTGAGGATGAAGTCTCCGCTACAGCTGAATAGTCCACGGTAAGTTTTATTGAGGGACAAAAGGAAGGTAATAGTCACACACATGGTTCCTAACTTTGTTGCCTGCTTCCGATATTGTCTTCAGAAGAGGTTCTTCCATGAAAGCTCTGGACAAGGAGGTGCCATTCAGTCTTTTCGAGCAGACTGATGGTGGAATCCAAGACGACTCGAGCTTCCCCAGCAACGAAAAAACAATTACTTGCTCGCGCGATGAAAAGCAGGAGCACGTACTGGATGGACTCACCCAAGTCAAGAACGATGAAAGGGTTGTTAACGTCACGTTTGATGATCTCGTCATGAGCAACCATCAATGCTTGTTTCCGCTCGTCAAAGCGCTGGCCGCGACGAGTGGCCGGGCGTGGGAAAGCTTTCGATTTGTCGATGTTGTAGACATGGCTTCCTTCCCCACGTGGCAAGACCTTCGTGATGAAATGGTACATGATTACGAAGAAACTGCCCATGACTTGGGTGGATCATCGGACTTCATCAACGTCTTGACTTGGCAAGCCAATGTCAAGATTCCACGCGGAACAGCCATGACAGACATAGTCGAGTTCCTTCAATCTGTCAAGGAGGACGATGAGGTGTACCACGTTGGCTTTGGAGGCGCTCTGGGTGATATTCTCGATATCTTGATCCCCGAAGTGCTATGTAAGCTAATCAACAGGCAGACGCTGACTCTCAACGAAGATTTCGTGGTGGAAGTGGCAAGTGGGTGGCTGTGGGAGGAAGCCGACTGGCTTGAACTGGTGTATGATTGTGTCCGCAATCTGAGCGAGCTGTCCACCCCCAGAACCGCATCGGAACACAATGGTAAGCACGCGTCCGGAGAGGAATCTACCGTGTCCATAAGAAGTTACAGCGGCACCATGGACGACCCCACCATCAAGGCTGGCTTCAACAGGAGTATCAATTTCAACGATTCCAAGAGTCTCGCCGGCAACCTCAGCTTCAAGAGCATTGCAACAAGTTGTGCTGGATATGCAAGCTTTTATGATGACAGTTTCTTTGGAACCAGCATTGACAACTTGGGATTCGAGGATAGCTTCAATGGCAGCAAAGCCACACTGTCGCCACAGCTGTCACCGAGGAGGTCACCGAAAAAGCGATTGCACAAACTGTCCCCCAGAACGTCCAGAGCAGCGCTTGCCGGCATCTATGATATCAGCCAACATGATTTCGATTCTACCTGCAGTGTCAACGACAGCACGACTGCCCAGGCATCAGAAGCACCAAAAATGCCAAAGGCAGCATAAGCAAGGCCGGGCTGCAGCACCAAAACACAACACAAGTTGATTGCTGTGTGCCCCGACTTGTGCTGGAGCAGCTGCCAAGGTTCGGCATTGCAGCGCATCTCTTGCGCAGAATCAAGATAGTTCGACATCCAATGGTGTTGGCCGAGAACTTCATTTGGTTCAACGTTGCCATCTCAGTCCTGCCGACGAGCACGGTATCAGCACCCTTGCATCCGACCACATAGAGAAGCCATTGAGTATACACATAATGGACTTGTAGCAAACACTGAACACCATCTGTTGAGGAGTTAGTAGTCTTGTTCAATCCAGTCCTGACAAAGCGCTGTGGAATAAATGTCCAGCGATCCGATGGAATCGAATCGTTCGGTCCGTCTGTCTCTCGAACTCTCTCTTAGCGGAAGTCAACTGTTTCCAACAAAGATTGAAACTCGTCCACGGACCCCTTCACGTCCATCCATTCGCTGCTCTGAATTTGAAACCCAGCCAATACTTTCTGAAAGGTCATGTCGGCAACAAGCTCCAAGCGTTAGTACATAATAGATGCACACCAGATTCTAGGACATGATACGTACATCGTTGATCCGGCTTATAGTATTGCTGTGACGGACAAGTTGGATCGTTAGTTTCGACGGAGGGGCCTGCACCGGGGGTGGGACGAAGTCAGCGTGCAGATTCGCAAATAAAAGAAGCCAAGACAACCTCGCAAGAGAGATACCTACCTGTCCCTGCTTCACCACGAGTCTGCGTCTCGCGGGCCTGGCTTCTTCCGGTTCACAAGCCGAAGGAGGCTCTGGACTCAACTGGTTGTCGTGACCGAACTCGTCGCGGTCGTCTAGGTTCCCTACCGGTGTTTCGTAGTCGTTCAACCCCGAAATGATGGGACCGCCAGTATTTTGGTCTCCTGCATTCTTAGATTTCTGCTTCTGCTTGTGTTCATGCAACAATCTACTAACGACGACTTTTTCGCCTTTCCAGATCAGCCTGAGTTTTGGTAAGATCAAGCGAATACTAATATTCAACGAAGTGAACAGCACCATCAAGACTTCCATCATGAACCTAAATGCGGCGAAGAAGATGGATGAGACGGGCCTACGGTGCAAATCAATCGAGACACCACCGTCTCCTTACAGCAGGTCTGGGTCTCCTGTCGGATCCTTCGACACTAGAATGACCGCAACACAAACGCCCATGACAAAGAGGGACAGGAACACACCGGTGCTCAAAGCTTTGGACTCATTGAAGAAAGCAGGAAGAGAGTTGGAGCTGCAGGCACGTTGACGTGTAAGAACCGAATCCAGAACAATTATTTGATTAATCTCCTGGCATGATGCGTACCTCTGAGCTTCGTACAGATCCACCATGATCGTAACGAAAAGAACACCCAATGAAACAAATTCAAACTGCAGGCTTGCTTTGTCGCCGCATTGATCTGTTCAGAAGTGGAGTAAGTGAAAACTGACAAGAAACACACTGTCACGAACACATGAATGAACGTTGAATCTTACATCTGCCAATGCTTTCCTCTTCGTTCAACACCAAAACGCGTTTCGTAGGATAGAACACGAGGCCGAAAATCTGGACAATGAGCATCGGCAATGTCACCAAGAATATCAAACACCATAACCGCCCTTCCGAGAATTCCTGCCGAAGTCGTCTGGCCGCCTTTTTGGGGTGGACATGCAATGAGATGCGTGTTCCTCTTGTTTCTGGCTCGTTGGTGTCGTTGTTCGCCGTATCAGTGGCCCCGTGCTCACTGTTTGTAGTGGTACTCGGTATCTGCGATGAATACCCATTCGAATCTGTGAAAACTCGACGAATGCCACTCGGCGCCCCCATCATGACCGTTGTCCAGTTTTTCAGGCCCTTCTTCAAAGCACTGCTGTCATTGGTTGCCTTCAAATCCATCAATGGTGCCATGATTGTGATTATCCGCCTGAGCCGGCCAAAGATGATGGCGAATACTACTTGCAAGGGTATGAACTTCAACGGGGCTACATCATGAAGGGGCACAGAAAGGTTCCGTTGGGATGGGCGCCCTCCGAAATGCACAAGATCTGGCTAGCAACGGCGTACTTACGGGTTATGATACACGACCAGTCGCTCATGGGACGGTAAAAGAACGTGCCTATGATGGCCACCAGTGTCGAGAGCTGCAAAAGCATGATTGGCGTGATTTGGCTCAGTTTCATCACATTGTCATTCCGATATCGAATCGTGCAGATGAGAAAGAATATCTGAACTGCGGCGCAAATGCTAATGATGACGTAGGTTGCGATCGCAACCCCTACATATCGATCGTGGTCACAACCGAAAAAAGTACGTCAGAAGTGGTGTAATGATAAGCAGGATCAACGCAAAAACCTCCAGGAGTGCACACTTACCTTTTGTAACCTCATTGATTGTGATTGGCGCAAAATAGGTAATGGAGCGCAGACTCAACAGGTTGGCGACATCAAACTTGACCATGGCTGTTGTGCCGTCGGTTTGGTTCGTTGTTGTTGTGTCGTTGTGCATAAAGAACATGACCGTTGCCAGGGGAAGGTAATCTCCCGGTCGTTTTACTTGAATGTCGATATTGTAATGAATCTGAAAGATGGATTTGTTGGCGGACTTGTCCACCTCAATGTAAAATATTGGAGACGCCCCCGCGGCAAAATCGCGGGTTCGTTCTTCGACGTAATGGGGTTCTCCCGCTTGATGCCGGATGCTCCCTTTGGCTGCGTTGATACGAAACACGGCGTCCTCGTCCAGAAAATGTCCATCCGAATGGTGGTCCTGTTCATCATCACCTGTATGTGACATCGCCATTGTACTATTGGCAGCGTGCTGGTTCGTGTGCTCCACATCGGTGTGAGGATGCTGCACTGTCGCCAAAGCCGCGCTGCTGTTTGCAGCATGATCGGAAGCATGACTCGTAGTGTCGTTGTCATGATCAGGCATTTGCCAATAATCGTCGTTGTGATCTCCGTCTGCTGGTGTCTCGTGATGATTGTCCATCATGATGGTTTCGTTGGCACGACGAAAGAGCGTCTTGTGGTTGGCGTCCACGACCGTCCGCACCAGTCCGTCGTGCACCGTGACAAGCCATGGATAGGGTGTGTCTTGTCGATCGATGACGATGCTACTACTGCCATTGTCCTGCTGTAGCGTAGCAGGCAGACCATCGTAGTGCACATTGTAGTTGTATGTGTAATCGACAATTTCGGATGCATTCCACAAGGCTTTTGCTTGTGCCAGTTTCAGCAGTTGGAGATGATGACTGGGCAAACCATTCATGGAAATCGTGTTGCTGGCGCTGCTGGTAGTTGTAGACATTTCCTCCTCGTCGCTCTGACCTCCTCGTAGGATTCGTAGATTGGAAATGGTAGCAAGATACACGTCGTCGTTGAGTGAAATGACAGCTTTGGTGGAGATCCTGGCTGGCGAGGATGATTGTGGCTTTTGATAGTCAATGACAATTTGCTCTGGGAATCCATACTCGTCGTGATAGTGCGCCTGTACACGAGAGACATGGAGTGAATCATTATTATTGTCAGCGTTGTCGTCCTCCTCCTCCACGAGAAGATTCAAAGCTTGATCGATGCGATCGAATAGTTCCGCCACGGTCGGTGCCGGCGATTCCGTGAGTAGCGCTTGTAGGTTTCGTCGTGTGGGGTTGTTTTTGTGATTACGTAGCCGTCTTTGGTGATTGTGCTGGTCCTCTTGTTGAGATGTGACGTCATCTTGATCCGTAGTACTTGGGGAGGTTGCTCTTTGGTCGTAGTCGTCTTCTGTCGTTACGACATCATCATCGCCCCCAGTTTGTATTTTCCCCTCCAATTGTTGAGGTGCTTCCGCTTCTTCCTTGTATAGAAATGGGGTGCATAGATTTCCCGAGAGGGGACAGAACTGCAACTGAATGGCAATGAGTGGATTGTTGTTATTGTTGTTGTTTGTCTTTTTATTATTTTGGTTCTTGTTTGTTTGATGTCTCTTGTCGCTGTACAAAAAGGCCGCGTCGGTCAATCCATAGTCTCTGCGAATGGAATGTAGGTCCACATCGAGTGTGAATTGGAATGTGTAATAGTGATGGGTCCGTAACTTGGAACTGCCATAGTACTGTTGAAACGCTGTATCCTCGAGTAGATCCAAATGCAGCGATGTACCAGTGGGACAACTGGGCAGCATGGTGGTGTGTCCTGTAAGTATTATTTGCAAGGAGAAGAAAGACAAAACAAGAAGGATGAATGAGATTTTGGTCAAACAACCTCAATTCATTCAGATTCAGATTGAGACTTTGATGCATGATCCAACATGATGCGCAGGAAAACCAAGCAAACCATCCCAGACAAATGATCATGCCAAGATGCAATCATGTAGAAACTGCATGTACAGCAGGGGGTGATTGAATGATTCAGACCATTTTTGTCATGGTCATTCCAAAGCACATCAAAAACATATTTCCCCCTCCTCGTTTTTTCTCTGAGAAGCCTTCTTGGAAACTGGAAACTTGCTTACAAAAATAAGATGGAATGATTGGATCCCATCATCCATTCACCCCACCCAACTTATGTGACAAGACTTGCATTGATCTGACCTACCGTGATGTACTGCACACATTGTACCTACCTGCAATAAAATCTGGAACCAATTTATTTTGCCACTGTTTTCCTTGAAATTTTGATTCATCATTGTGGTCATTGGTATCTAGTATAGGTGTCTGTGTACTAGTAGTTGTGGTACTGGTGGTATCAGTGGCATTGCTAAATCTTGGAGCACTCCAGCAAATGGCTTGATTTCCCCTGAGATTGTCATAGCCATTGGCAGTATGGACCAGACCATCCACTTGACCTTCCACAACCACAAACAACACTCCCTGTACAAACAGTACTACCAGTACTACATGTACATGTAGTCTCAACCATTCTGATTCTTGTATGCTTCTTCTTGCTCTTGGCATCCTTGAACTTTGACTTCAATCCTACATGTACACTGTACTGACTGATGCAGCTATAGAGCTGCCAGAGCATAAATAGATACACACAGCTAACTCACTCCTCAACTATAATACTGTATACTAGTACTAGTAGCTAGCTAGATAGTAAGTCAACTCCTTCAGTCTCTTTCTCTTTCTGTGTTCTGGGTTATGGAGGAGTTGTGGTGGTGGTGGTGGCAATTATTGCTGGTCCCAAAAGACGAAACCCAGCTGAGCTGATAAGACTTTTAAGCCACTTTTGCTTGCTCCCCGGTTGCTAAAAGGGTAGCTGGGACCGTCCTGGCTGGCAGAGATGTTGTTTGACCGAGATACGAACTGCGTTGCCAAGCTGACTTTGACCCATGCATGCATGCATGATGCTCATTGTTGTGGGAACGAAGCAACAGAAACCACAATGAGCTCAATGGCGGGCTGGCTGGCTGGCCAGCTAGCTTGATTCGATTCATCTGCAGGCTAGCTAGTCTACTCTCAGGTACACAGAAAAGCACATTATCATCAGATCTGGAGTTGTACACAAAAATAAGGGGGGATCCATCTGCACCTAGAAAAGTAAGTACAAGAGGAGCAACTAAGAACTGAAAAATTGTACAACTGTATATTGTCATTTGTTTGTTTATTATTGACATGCACATTGTGGTTCACACGAGCATTCTATGGGAAATGGATGTGGCTCACAGTCCACATGTATGGATTGTAGATTCGTCGATTTGGAGCATAGATTGTTGGGTACACTGCCTACAAACTTGTTTTTGTGCAAGTCCAGCTCTGCCAAATGGGTCAATAGACCCAACTCACTTGGAATGCTTCCGGTAAACTGGTTGTCTTTGAGGTTCAAGATTTTCAAATGGGTCAGCAAGCCGAGTTCCGAACACAGCGATCCGGAAAGTTGGTTCTTCCCCAAATTCAGCAAAACTAGAGTTTTAAAGAGCCCAATCTCATTGCAGGGGATCGTTCCCTCGAGCTTAAGATTGTAGCGATTCATTTCAATCATGTTGGCCACTCGGTAGGTTTCGCCAAAGATCTCCATGGTTTCTGGTGTTTCTGAAGTTTCTGAAGTTGCACTAGTAGTAGTATCGACGGATTTGGGAGCAGGAATGTGTATTCTGGACCCCATCAGTAAAAGTAAAAGAATGAAAAGCAATAGCATTCCTGAAGAAAACAACTTTTGGAGTGGCAGGCCGCACAGTCTTGTCACCAGTGGCTCTCGCTTTCTTTCCACTTCGATGAAGCGATTCAAGTTGTTCAGGACCTCATCAGGCTCATCGTGGTAGTGGTCTACGCTTAAGGACATCATCTTGCTTGGACCAGATCGATCAATTGATCTTGCTTTTGTGCTTGGCTTGTTAGTGATAAAAACAAAGATCAAAGATGGAGCGGTTGCTTGTCGGTGGTACCGGTATCGCGTTATTGTGGGCTGGGTCATGGTTGCAGTGCTCCGAATGATTCAATCTAACCCTTAACCTTACCACAATCTTTTAAAAAGACAGCCGATCTACCTTAGTAGCCACACAGCCGTACCGATACTGTGGATGACATGGGCAAACCCGACGGAGCGTGGACCATGAACTTGCCTCCTCAAATCCTGTCATCTTGAATGATTAGCTACATCTACTGACAGCTCTAATAGACGATGTATGATACAATGCAGACTAGCTATTGAAGAGAAAACCCAAAAGTCAGGTCAACCAACCAACACCAAATATCAAAAGAGAACCCTTGTCAGCGCATTAGTGACAATTACATTGATTGCAGGAGCAATTCACATAATGTGGACTTGGAAAACAGTCCACATAGATCCATTTTATTCCAGAGATCAAACATAGCTCATTGGGCACACTGCCTGACATCTTGTTGTGATCTACATAAAAATTTTCCAAGCGACTCATCAACCCCATCTCGCTTGGAATTGTTTTTGAAAGCTGGTTGAGTTCCAAGTACAAATTCTCCAGCATTGTCAGCAAGGCAATCTCTGTTGGAATGCTTCCAGAAAGCTGATTGCCGTGCAACCACAACCCATCCAAAGCCTTGAGTAATCCAATTTCCGAAGGGATGTATTTTGACAATTGGTTGTTATGAAATTCCAGCCGGTTCAAACGAGTCAACAAGCCAATCTCACTGGGGATACTGCCCGACAACTTGTTTGTAAAGCTCACCAGCAAGCCTCGCAGTGCCGTGAGCAATCCAATTTCCGAACACAGCGACCCGGACAACTGGGTCTGCCTCAAATTCAATTCTTCCAGAGCCGTCAAACCTCCAATTTCCGATGGGATGGTTCCAACCAAGTTGTTGTTTTTATCCAAATCCAACGTTTTCAAAGCCGTCAGCAAACCAATTTCGGAAGGAATGCTGCCTCGCAGCTGGTTTTCACCAAGGCCCAAAATTTTAGATCCGTCAGCAAACCAATTTCCGTTGCAATGGAAAAGTTGAGGTGTTGTCCATACCGACGAATTTCCGAGGTGGAGGCAACTGGATAGCTTGTCCCAAATAATTCGACTGTTTCTTCGGGTGCTGTTGTATTTAGAATACCAATATTAGTGTTGAAAGGCAGAACAACAACAAGGCAAGCGATTACCAGCAAGAGTACCAGTATTAAGGAAGCAACCTTTTGAAACGGGATCCGTGGTTCTTGGATCACTTTCATTGCCAGAGTTCTGTTGTCTTGGTGGTATTCCTCATTGTCCTCCTCATCGTGGTAGTTGTCAATGCTCAGCGCTTCCATGCTATGCTATGCTATGATGTTTGCTTTGGATCTTGCTGTAGCTTTGTTCTTTTTGTGGCTTCTTTTCTAGCTTGATCCACGTACGGGGCACAAATAAATGAGGTGGAGAGATCTTCTTTCGCCAATGGAGCCCCTAACCCCAAGCTTTACAATCTTCCACGGCGCGCAAGCCATCGGCGACAACTGACGTGCCATAACAACGAACCCTCGACAGGATGAAACGAATTATGTACAATACGGTACGGGAGCAGTGAGTTTTTCGTGCCACAACCATAATCCCATTCTATCTACTGGTACTTCGTTTAGACTTGTTGTGTATTTATTATTTGATTGGTTGGTTGCTTTGTTGAAACCGAAAGCGCAATGCTGCATTATGAGACTTCAAGGAGAAAGAGAGGAAAGAGGCGGCAACAGTAATCAGGATTCTAGGAAGAGAGCAAGACGAAGAGTGGATGTTGTTGCGGAAGGTCTTGGTAGATTTTGCTTATGAGCGTTTGAGAGTGCGAGAAAAAGAGGAAAGCAAGCAAGCAGGCAAGCAAAGCTAAGTCTGTTCCATGTAACGTCAGGTCAGAGCAAAGGAGCGAGCAAGCAAGCAAAGCAAAGCAAGCAAGGCATTGGCAATGCACCTCCAATCTCTTTGTTTTCATTTATTAGTTTGCGGCCGGAGAAACCTGTTGACGTGGTTTGATTCCCATCCATCGTACGATTCGCTTAGAAGCTGGTAAAGAGGACGTTCGTGGTGCTGCTGGTTTGGAAGACGGTAGCTTGAGTTTGGTATTGTAGAACGTTTCCAGGTTGGTGGGAACCATGGTCAGGCTCCATTTCTCGACGAGGTCCTGCGGGATCTCTTTCATGGCCATGGACGGACAGGGCTGGTTCGCTTCGTCTTTGTAGTCCAATACGAAAAAGACACCTCCCGGTCGTAGTCCCGCCAGTGCTTTTTGTATGACTTGCGTTGGTCTGCCTATTGATGATGGTGTTGTGCCCAATGGTGTAGTGCCCGGGTTGGGTTGCTTGGCTACATGTAGAAAGGAGATGGAGACGGCGTCAGATGCGGGACTGGACTGAGTCGTAGCATTAACCCTAGCCTTGGTGATGGCGAATCGACTCTTTTTCATTCGGGTGGCGTTGACGGTCGGAGTTGTTATGGAAGTAGGAGCAAGAATAGCTGGTGTAGGCCTACTAGTAGTAAGAGCGCCATGGTCGTCTTGTTCGTCGTCCGTCAAAGCAGACACGCTGCTGCAAACGCTAGTGTCATCTTCTTCAATAGTGTCAGTGTTGTATCGGTACGTAGAATCAGTACCAGCGGCACGACTGCGTCGGTTGCAATTGCGCTTGTCGAAACTGAACAGGGAATTCATGGGACTGGTAGTAGTAGTGCTAGTAGTGTTGCTGTTGTTGTTGTTGTTGATATCGTTGGTGCTGAACATGTCGATGTTGTTGCTGTGGCCGTTGGTTGTCTCTTATTATGAGTCTATTCTAGAGGTGAGTTGCTTGGTGCTCTTTGCTCTTGCTCTTGTGAATTCACTTCGCTTTTCTTGGAATGACACACACCTCTTGGAACTCCAATCTTCTATTCCGTTCGTTCCACGCACAAGCCACGTTTCAAAGCCTTCTGTTTCGAGTCGAGGAGGTTTTCACACACAATTAGGAAAGTGCACCGTACGTGGGAACCGGTGTCCATTGTGAACATCATTTTTACAAACAAATGACCAATAATTTGCAACTAATTTTGCTAGTGACGTACTGCTGACGTACTCCTACTTCAACTCTGGCTCCCCAAAAAATGAGACCGCACCACCCAAAATATTATTGATATGATCCCTCCTCATGGCGCCTGTTGCTCCAATTATTTGGTCGGTGCTGTGGACAAAGATCTTTCCGAGACAGCTACATGTAGACTATTCCTGGTGGATTTGCTCATTTATTTGCTCTCTCGCCTTTTCTTTCAGCTATGCTTCGTTCTTGCTTTCTTCAAGGATACCCTCGTGCCGACAAGCTCATGCTGGCAGGCACGCTGAAACTACCTACTAGCTAGCCGGCTTGGTCCCCACTTACTTGTGCATGCTGCGATCACCAACAGATCGAGTTTCTAAAGGTTCATGAAAGCAGCTCTCTTCTTATTCTTTCTCAAGTTAACTAAGTTTAGCATGTAAAAGCTTTTGTGCAAGTAAGTAGTTAATCTTTGCTCCATTCATGTCTTCTTGCTTCTTCCTGTCTTTCTTTTTCTTCAACCCTAGCTAGCTAGACTACTAGTAGCTACCTACTAGACGTTCACACGAAAGAAGCTCAAAGCACCCGCAACCAACAACTGCCACCCACCAACCAACCGTCTCTACTCTTTTTTCTTTTCATTCAAGATCGGTTGGATAGACAGATTCGTTGTTTCGTTTGGTACCGGTACCACTTGATGACATGACATGACATGTAGCTGTATAGAAATAATATATGCAAAAATGACATGGACACACACCAACATGTACAACATACACACAAAACGCCACAGCGCATCACCCTTCCATCCATTACCGATGATCCCTTCTTCTTGATAACAACCAGCAATGTGGAAGGACAACCGCTGTCAGCACGATACTCGACCGTACCCATCGTAACAGAATGGGATACAATAGTGCCGACACGGCAAACTGCAACAGTATCCGCCTCGATTCGACAACTTCGTCGTGCCTACCGGTACTCGGTAACGACAGCTGCGTCGAGTACAATGTCGTACTGGTGGCCATGATTTGTTTCTTCCAATCGTGGTCGTCGCCATTGCCACCTTCAAACGACAGTGGTGGCGCCTTTTTCCGTCGTCGAAGGAGGTCGAGCTTGGATGTTACCCTGGAAAGCAAACCTTTCAGAGGATTCCTCGTCTCTTGCTTTCCCACTGTTGGATCCACCAAGGCATCCACCACCAGGGGCTTCTTCTTCTTCTGGAACAAAGCCACAGACTTTTTTGGACCCAGCAGCGAAAACGCTTTAGAATTGGTACTGTCTTTCCAAGCCTTTTGCATGTCAAAGAACGAAATGGGCTTGTTCATGTCTCTGCGGCCAGGCTTGGGAGTTTGGTCCTTGTCATCCTCGTCGTCGTCATTGTCATCCTCCTTCTCAGCCTCCTTGGTCGCTTTGGCAATTGTCACGTTCTTCTGGGTGGGCAATGGTGCAGCAGGCAAGTCATTCATCGTCGCCTTCTTCTGCGGTTGTGCTCGTGGAAAGGCTCGTTGGACACGACTCGTGTCGGGTGACATCAGAGGAACTGCTTTGGCCGAAGTCTTGGGACCGGGCTTGACCGCAGGCTTGGGAACGGCTTTGGCGGTAGTAAAGGGACCTGCCTTGGCTGTTGTCTTGGCACCCTTGAACTCGTGGATCTGCTTCCTGTGACTGTAAATGTCCTCCAAGGGAGAGACAATGTCTTGGCTGTCGCCTGTCAGCGGCTGAATCAGTTTAAACGACGTGTCGGGGGCAGCAGTCATGGGACTATCCGGCTTTTTGTAGCGGTCACTCGGTCTCTGCAGGTCGCTGCTATCGTCCGTCAGCTTTTTGCTCTTGTAAATCTCCTCCAGAGGTGATGCCAAACCCTTGTTGTCTCCCATCAGCGCAAACGCATCCATCGACAGCTTGCTATCCGCACCGGGCGTGGCGGGAGGTTTCTTGAACCGTTCGCTGGGGATGGCTTGTTCTTGCTTCCGGTAGATATCATCCAGGGGAGCAGACGGGCCCATGTTGTCGGCCGTCAACGCCTTTAACT